TATTCTTGTCGTGTCGTGTTCTCTTGTATTGTACTTGTAGTAGCAAAGCAATATCACTATTTCTATGGATCATAGTCATCGATAAGGGTCCGGTCTTGATCTGACAACAATGTCATAATTTGACGGAGATACTTTGGATCATAGTCATCGATGAGGGTCCGGTCTTAATCTGACAACAATGTCATCATTTGACAGAGATACTTTGGATCATAGTCATCGATGAGGGTCCGGTCTTAATCTGACAACAATGTCATCATTTGACGGAGATACTTTGGATCATAGTCATCGATGAGGGTCCGAACGGCTATGGTATTAACGCGACTACAGTACTAGTGGTTCTATGATTGCCTGCTCCCCCCTCTGAATCCTTTCCCTGTTGTAGGCCTCCCACATCTCACTAGCAATCTGGTCACGACGGAGGCTCGCACGAGTGCGTGCGTGCTCAGTAGGAGGACCGTTAGCAAGGTTTCCAGTGTCAGTGAGAATGTGCGCATCTAACACATTACGATAGTCCATCATGTCGTTTGGATCGTGAACTCGAATAACGTTGTGCACGAGACACAAGGCAGGAGGAATGCGCGCTTGAATGTCCATTTTGTACTCTGGCGGGAGGAGAAGGATACGAAATCGGCGCTTGATGACACCAAAAATGCGCTCAACAGCATTTCGAAGCATTGCATGACGCAAATTGAAAAGTTCTTTGCGATTACGAGGCCTATGTAATGATGTGAACATAAGTATGAATGGTACTAGCAGAACGCATCATACAAAGTATTAGCACGACCCCACTTTGCAAGATGATAACGCACGCCCCGAAACGGGACCAGAAGCTCATCGCACGAGCCAAATCCAGCGTCCGCAAGATAATACTTTCCCTCAGGGATATTGAAATTGGTAGTACGAGCATCGTGATAGACACAAGCATCTGCAGCTGACCCCTCCCAACCGCTCAACATGTAGGTAAACGAAAGGTTGAATGAACATGCCGTGAGGCAGTTTTGAGAGAAGTTCCCCTTGCGATCCCGAGCGGCATGCCGATCTTCACCAAAAGGATGGCATGCGATGTGTGTACCGTCAATGGCTCCGATAGCATCAACAAAGAACGGGAAGAACTTCGGGTTTTTCGTGATTTCGGGGGGAGGAGGGCTATCTACGTCGGGCAGGCGGACGTATGTCGTATATATCGGTGGCGAGGAGAATGCGAAAAGAACCTGTTTAAAATACCTGAAAGAACATAAGCTTGATACCAGGACAGCAACAATATACGTACTTTGATATTGTTTCATTGGACCGCTGAAAGCGTTCACCAAGATGGCGAATCGAGAGACCCGTGACAGACGCATAGAGAAATATAGCAAGCTGCTCTTCTAGCAGTACATGCCTGGAATCTCTGCATCCTGCTTGCCGAAGGAGATTGATGAGCACATAGAAAACGTGCTTGTGGACCCCGAGCTCGCATCTGATGCGTTCAGGGTGTCCAGTGAGAAGTTCGGTGACCCATGCAGTCCCCGACAAAGCGGAGGTATGATACGGCTCTTTGTCGTAGTAGGTGTTTGAGTAAGCTTCGAGCGCGGTAGTTGTTGCGTTGAGGACTGTAATGACCGTGCGCATAGCATGCATGGCCATCTGCATGATGCATGCCAGATACTTCTTATCACTCTCCTCTGCATCGTTGTCCATATCCTCTGCCTCCACAAGGTCGTATTCGTCCTCGTTAGCGTCCTCGTCGTAATCAGGATCAAGAGGCATTGTATTGATAGTAGGATAAGGCATACGGTAAGCGTTATCGGAGCGTGACATCTTGTTCAAGCTCCGACAATTAGCAAAGCCAGAACCAAATTCTAACTTGCGCAAATAATGGTGGCCGAACAGACTCTAAGTCACTGTGCTTGCGTTTTTCAGCTCTATTCAAGTTGTCGTCACCTACTGCAGCTATGATCTCCTTCGTTCAAGTTAATTTATCCAGAGCAGAATTGAGCTGTTGCGACATGGTTCAGTGAGGATATTCAGTCAATTCACGAGATATTGACTCAAGGTGATTTTGACACTATTTCAACACTTTTGCAATAATATGTCCTGTAGAACGCTAGACACGAAGTAAGTCTCAGCGGGACGGGAAAGCAACGCTGAGGTGGACTGTGTACGAGTAAGTTAATTTAAGTACTAGGCATCAGGAAGTCTGAAGCGGAGAGAAGCAATCAGCTATAGCAACTACAGTGAGGACTACACGAGGTGTCGAAGGTGCCAAGATGCGATAAGAGTCAAAGGAAAAATAGGAAGAGGAAACTTCTCCGGAGGCTAAGCGCTAATCCCCCGGGATTCGTACCGCGTGGACACTCACTTCTCTATGGAAAGCCGGACGCGCGCGCTCATTATTAAGCGTCACACATCCATAACAGGCAGTAGGACCCTGTGTAATCCAAGTTTAAATTGTCCAAGAACAAGAGGTGTAGGTAACTAGATATATACACGACGAAGAAAAATCACCATCCATCTACCATTTCATCGTCACTTTCGCAATCCGAGAACTCCCAAACCACCAAACCAGCATGATCAAGACCGACCAAGCTTTCATCAATCCCTGTTGTGATATCCGGCTCATCACTGTGTGAAAGAACATCTAGTTGATGACAGTGTTCAGTGTCTAGCAAATACATCAGCATTTAGACTGTCAGGATCGGAGATGACAAACCAAGGCCAAGTCCTCCACCCACGCCACCCATATAATAGGCACCATTGGAATCCTCACGAGAAGGTAAGTCTTGATGGTCATCTAAAAGTGGAACAAAATCTTCATCTTCATCATCCTGCAGCTGAATTTCGCCTGGTAACTCATCAGCGAGCTGGAGGGCATCTAGCAGAAGCTGATACATGTCCCAGACTGATTGCCGTGTGATAACTGGGCGACCGAGATCATTGTAGCAATGCTGGATGCATTTGCCGAAACCCTCTGGGACCAGGTCAAACACGCAATGAGAGGGCTTGATGTAGAGACTTCGGACAAAGTCTAGGGCCTCGGGTTCGATTTGAATCTATGATAGTACTGATATTAGAGTACTATTGACAACAACCAAGTTGATGTAGCACGTACCTTGAAATCCAATGCTCCAAAATCTTCAGCTGAATGGTAGATAAGATTGGGTACTCCATGAGGAAGAATCTGGATGGCACATCAATGTAAAACCATACTTATTGAGAGTAAAACCACAGGCACGTACTTTGTTGCGGTCACACCGCTTGGCAGTATTGTTAATATGATCCTGATATGCATCGAGCTCCTGCTGAAGCCATGGTATGAAAACCCAATGGAAAACCATCCTGCAAACAAATATTACAACTAACACTTGAACAGGAGAAAAATGACGCACACTTGAAGGGTATTATTCGAATCATACCAACCAGAATTGACACCATGATCAAGAAGATTCTCAAATCCAGGTGTGAACCGCTGGTGCAGTTGAGACCATGCGATCTCTGGCATAACATTCTTCTTTGTTCGCATCCAACAATGCTGGAGCGTACCATGTAAAGCTTTGTCGTGATACTGTCGCAGCACGGTATGCGCGTTTGCAATCCCATAGTTTTCGGACCCCAGGTCACTTTGAGTGACCATTGGCATATCTAAAATTTAAGTCGAACTTAGTATGTTTGTGCTTTAAAACGTGAAACACTTACGACCGAGAGCCTCGATTGTGTTAAGGTAGTAACTCAGAATGAGCTGCAGATTTCGGTTGGAATTCCAGACCCGAATCCACATTATACGACCAGAGAAAGGCTCAATGCCGGTATGCAGCCCAAGACTAAATCTGAGCCACTTGTCATGCTGATCGACTGCAAATAGATCATTCACGCCAGCTGCCCAGAAGCGTCTCCTTCAAAGGCAACAAGCCTTGCACTGACAAACAAGTTCTGGTTCGTACAAAGCAAAGTACTCTGTCACAACCCTCCTAGGATGCGAAACTCATAGGTCAGTAAAACCGGTCCTCACAATGTAAAGATAACTCACCTAGCAACACTCATTTCCCATTCATGGTATAGTAAACTCACCATTTCACGCGCACCAGCATTTGGATGTGTAGCACGTAAATCGAGCATCGCATCACGAATGGTTTCGACTGTGTGACGCTGTTGACGGGTACATTGAAGACCCATCGTCTTTCGAACCTTCAAAAGCGTGGTAAGCCTAGTGGATAATTATTTGACACCTAAATAACTAGATTTAAACACTACTCACCCGATACCATAGCGAGTCGTGTCGATGCATTTTTGCAATTCCTGGACAATCTGCCGATCGGTCTGGCGGGCCTTCCAGAGGCGAAGGATATGAGGTGCGATTTCATCCAGTGGGGCTGCTTAGAGTGTTCAGATGCCTAGTGGGAGTGACTTGAAAGGTACATACGTGTAGGTTTGTTCTGGTTGGGCATTGCAACGTGCTCACTCTGAGGCTTGCAGGGTCACACTTTATATTAATGGTGATTTCCTTTGGACTTACCAAGTTCAGTGGCCCCTGACTCGAAGAAGTTCATGCTGTGGCAACATGGGAATTCGTGGAATTCATGCCTGGCCTTGCGCCACTCATGCCCCGCTCGTCCCACTAATGCCCTCCTCATGCCTCACATCTTCCCAAGTCAAGTTCAGTAACTACTTGGGCTGGACGTTCCAAATGTTCCGATTCTCAGTGAGTCAGGGCTTGCAACTACCACTAATTGAACTAAGAAATGTTGTCCGCGGTCCAAAGCATTCTTGGGCTGCGCATTTCAGATTCAACTCTTTCAGATTGTTCCATAGTGTCTTTTGAGGTGCCGGTTCCATATGATTCATGATTCTCTATCTAACTCTTTCAAACTTCTCCTTAGTGTCTCTGGAGGCGCCAGTTCCTCATGATGATACAGACTTTCCTCAAGTGCTCGTCACCACCCAATGCACCACATCATAAATCTCTGGGTCATGAGATATTTAAGCTGTCTAGCATGCACTTGGCAGGCTACCTTCAGAGCGCCATGTCAGACTATGAACTTCTCACCCAGTACACTGAGGATGCCTACGCCAAAGAAGATCGAATTTGCGACCATCCGTCTTGCATGGCCAACATTAGGACTGGAGAGCCATGTTTTTATGTTGCGACCATTGAGCCAGGTCAACATGGGCGCTATGTGTGTGAATCCTGCCACTTGCATTACAAGAATAAACAAGCTACTTCAGTGAGACCTACAGGTATGTGATCACCATCTAATTGACGAGTTGCTGGCTTACAGACTACTGACTCAGGTAGTCGAACCTTACAATCACAAGGCCGCGCCCCTCCTGATCCACGTACAATACAACAATTGGTGAATGCGGCACAACGAAGATGTAAGTCAAGATGTGTGTTACTGTGGAGGTTTATGATCTGATTTATCACAGCGACACCTAATCCGCCTCCTGTTGTTGCCGTACCTGGTGGTTCTCGTGCTAGAGGGCCAGATATTAGAATCCCTACATTGTGGCAAGGTTCATCGTCCATCCAGCATTCGTCACAACAAGGTGCCATTGGGTATTCATCGCAACACACACTTTATGCTGCTGAGCGTGACCGCTGGGGGAAAATGGCATATGCTTCGTCTCTAGCAGAGACCATTTTGCTTGAAATTACTGTGGTTCACGAAGGTGCCGGAGAACGCAAAAAACGAGGTGTTGTTATTGGAGTATGTTTACATCTTAAAACGTGCTGTGACTTACTTACACTTCAGCTTACTAGAACATATGTGAGGGTAAGAAGGACATTGATGCTCGAATTGACGCGTCTGGGCTCATCAAGCTAGCTTTGGAGACTGTTGTCCCAAAGTTACGCAAATTCAATGGAGAATTTGTCTGGCGTGTTGAGGAGTTCGTAATCCGAGATGCTGCATGGGTGGACCTATCCAATCACCCGCAATCGGTTCCCTATTTCTATGATCAATGCCTGCAGCCATCTCGCAAAGGCACCAAATCGACCTTCAAATCTAAACAATTTGCGCTGATGGTCGTTGTCCCGGAGGCTCAGTGGAATGAATACGAGAATTGGTTGGAACTTCGTGCAGAAATGGTACATATTTTTTATGTTGTCTATTTACTAGTGCCCTAACCTTAGTTTTGCGGTCCAGGAAGCTGAAGCTATCCGAACGAGCTGCACTCAGTCTAGTGAACGTGCTACTGCTCACACAGCTGTCAGTTTCAATGTGCCCTCATCAGCAACAACTTCGCTCGCTGAAAACAAGCTTTTCTTACCATCCATGACCACCAACAATTCTGTGACGGTCTCTACCAAGAGAGCCCACCAGCGTGCTGAAAGCTCTAGCAGTCTCAGTGGTACTTCATCTCCACCTCGAAAGAAGAATCCACCTCCCGCAGCTTTTCATTCACCTGATCGTGATCTGCTCAAAGAAGTCTTGAAGATCGGCAGAGGTGCCAACTTAAATGTAAAGCAAGGTATGCTCGTTCATCAATTTCTCAAATTGCATCAGCGCTTACTAGTATTTTATAGTCTTTGGACTACATAGCGAAAGTGTGCAATTCCACCCAATCCCTACCCGCGATATCACCAACCTCTTGCTACACAAACAGCATCATTCATTTTCGGTGGACACAGCTGAATCTTCCATTGGACAGCTGACTATTGATACATCGACGGATGGCTTCATTGGAATTGGTGGCTTCAAGACTGCGAATGCTGGATGGCTCACACTCACAGCTCCTCCCAAGACTGGTCTTGGATCAGTGGCTCGTCATAAGGTCGTGGTCAAACGGCCATTCGAAAAAGTATTTCCGACTGCTATGAAGGTTGGAGCTTATAAAGTCGGCCGGTATTCACTTGTCGACAAGCTACAGAAGCTATTCAGAGAGGCCAACGTCTTATACTGGTCCAAGTCTTTATTAAAGCTCACATACGACTTTATTGATCGTTCCATTGCATCCTCACCTGAACCCCCGCCATTCGCTGTCCCACGTGTTTGATTTGTAGAAGCTGGCCTTGCATTGTGCCACAACCAAGGTGGTAGCAAGCCTGGAGCGAAGACAGGGTCAACACGGGCTGTCTTTCTCCTTGAAGAGCTCATTGAGGGTGGTGATGATATGTTTGTCAAATTCATCCACAATATGGATGCCAATCCATTGCTCGATGAATTGGACTATGGCTATGACATGGCCGAATTCTTTGTTTTCACGCAGCATGTCCAGTATGTCAAGACTGGCAAGCTAGCTTTCATATCCGACTATCAGGGTATGTCTGATTTTCAATACATTCAATCCTCAGTGCTGAATGACCCAATGTATTCAGGTAGTACAGTACTACTCACAGATCCTCAGATCCTGACTCATCCATATGTCTTTTTCATTTGTTCAGACTCAATACCGATGTTGGGATAGGTCGGTCAGCAATGGATGTGATATTTTTGGCGAGGGAAATATCGAGGCATCTGTCAGCAAATTCGAAGACCAGCATGCCTGCAACGAGTACTGTGAATGGTTTGGGCTGGAGATATTTGTGAAGGAAGCGAACGACGATGAAGCAGCTGCGAATGACGATGAAGTAGTTGTAGAAAATTAGATTGATGCTCGTTGGACTGATACATGGTACTATACTATTTTCTTGCATTCGAAGTGTTAGATAATTACATTGATGTGCGACATGTACTCGATATAATATTGTAATGGCACTTGAAAAACATCACTGGCAGGCCCTACGCTGTCACATGACCAAGAAAACGTGGCACTTTTTCCTTGAGTGACGTCAGCACTCAAGGAAAAAGTGCCATGTGGCTTGTATCATGTGACTACTCAGTGTCAGGGATATATATAATTTTCTTGCGTGTGAGGTGTCCGGTGTCCCAATCGTGTGACTACCTCATTTGGTGCATGTCACATCGTGTAACGGAGCGCGCGCGTCCGGCTTTCCATACTTCTCTTCTTATCGTCAATATATCCTACATTCCAACAGAGCAGTCTCACCGACCCCTGATCGAATCCCAATTCTTCGGACCCTCACTCCCCTCCTGCAATCTGTTCTTCAGCTTGTGCTATCTGCGCTTGAACCTCCTCGCAATAAGATGATTCGAAATCGAACTCCTCCCCAAACTGCCAAGGCTGCCCTTCTTCGGTAGGATCCTCTGAAGAAAGTACCCATGCGCGTGTTCTGGCTGAAGATGTGCGTCCCTACAGGGATAATTGTCTCATGGGAATATCCTCCCCACCACGTGGAGCCTCTCTGAGCTGAGCAGGTGTTGCAGGGTTGCCACGGCTGTCACCGAAGGGGCTCGCCATCGTCAGTACATGTTGAGGTTGTGAGAGCGGTGTCAAGGTGTAGCCCGTAACGCGATTCGAGCCTAGCCTGGAGTCACTGTCTGGCACGTAAGTATCAATAGCGGTGGAGGCTTGTATGTGTCACCGACATTTGCAGTCTGATCGATCACTGTTGCCAGTCGGCGCCATGGTCAGGCCAAACTGAGGTGTTTCCTCCTGTCGCCCGAGTGGCGTCCAGGACGTTGGTGGTGGTATGCTGCCAGATACGGTAGCTCCCACGCTCAGGAATGTACACTAGGAACCATTGCGTGACGACTTCGGTACTCAGACCAACTGCGCCATTGGGGAATACATCCAGGTTATTGGCCGTCCCAGTCGAATTACAACTGGTGATGCGATATATTCCATCTGCCAAGGGACGGATCTTGAAACATGTTTAGGACCTAGAACTGACACTGCTTCATGAAACTTGAACGTTTGAACACTGACACTTGCAGCCGATGCCGACATGGGCCGCGCCTGGTTACGATTAGTGATGTGCTGGAAAAGAGAACGAAGATATGGATCCCTTTGCCCAACCTTTGCCCTCTCCAAAAGCTTTTATATCTGTGGCTAATCGTGAGCTTATCTTGGTGCATTATCCATGCACTCATCAGAGACACCTTCCGCTATCGATTAGCATGGTCCACACATGAATTTGGTGCATGATTGATCGATCTCGGAACAAGGCCATGATGTTTGAGAATATAATATGGTGTTGGATTTCCTGATCATGATGAAGCGGGAGCGGTAGAAACAACTCTGTTGGCACGGAACCCTGTACAAATGTCAAACGTGCAAAGGAAAAACTCGAAGGACGCAACTATGGATATAAGTAAGCTAGGGTTCGGCGTTGCCGAATTTGACAGCTTGCTTGCCTGCATGGTCTCGGAGTTCGATTTGCCGCTATGCCGGAACCATTTTCAACGTCCGATCGTTTTCTGTATGCTGCTGCTCAACTGGTCAGTGGTGAACGTTCCTCTGCCTTGTTTAAACTACTCAGACCTTTTGCGAGAGGGAAGAAACTTACATGCGAGGGAAAACCCGAAGACATATGTGACGCAATCGGGTTCTCACAGGATTTTTTGTAGAGAAAAAGATGTTTGCTGCAAACAGAACCCGGAGTGGTCGTCGGAAATTAGTACCTCGTTGCCTCCCGGTCACACTTCACCCATTCCCATGAATATAGAACAGCCCATAGCCAGCACCTCGCTGCATGTCGTTCTCTTGGTCTACATGCAGTGCAATATAAAATGCCTCCAGGCAGACATTTCATCAGTTTTTCGTTCTTACCCTGAAAATCCACAGGACTGACTCTGAACAGCGCTGTTAGCTGATTTGTCTTTCCAAAGCATACGCATACCTGTAAGTTTTTCAGTCCGAGAGATGGGAGCATCATGCGACGCTACCATTGACAGGTCCACGCATTACCATCCTTGAGGCTTGAGCAAACTCAGAGATGGGAAGTCTATTCAGTCAGAGTTGGCCAGAAGCGTACGGTCCATCCCTTGCCGATATAGAAGTGCGCCAGAAAGCAGAGGGAGCTGCTGAGCAAGATCGACAGGATGATGCTGCTGCTGCTGCCAGAGCACAGATTGCCGAGCTCATCAAGTCGAATCAAGAATTGCAGCAAAAGACTTTAGAGCTTCAGCAGGCCGCCTTGCAAGCTGCCGCAGCCTCACAGGATCAGGTCCACAAGGAGATGATGGCGACGGTCCAGGCCGAATGTGCTGCTGCAAGAGCAGAGATTGCCGAGCTCATCAAGTCGAATCAAGAATCACAACAAAAGGCTTTGGAGGCTCAGCAGACCGCCTTGCAAGCTGCCGCAGCCTCACAGGATCAGGCCCATAAGGAAATGATGGCGATGGTCCAGGCGGGACGTGTCGACAAGGAAGCTCGCTTACTGGCAGAAGCCGCTGCTCGTACCGCCGGCGAAGAAACAAAACAAAGAGCATCGGAAGCAGAGGAGGAGCGTAAACGAACTGCCGCTGTCCAAGAACAAGCCGAACGAGACCCCCAGGCTGCCCAGGAGCAGGCCAAGAAATCACAGGAGGCTGCCGATGAGGAGAAGAGTAAGGCGACTGCCACCCAGGAGGAGGCTGAACGCAAGTTGAAAGAAGGCATTCAACTTGTGGTGACCCCCACGCCTGAAGAAGTTAGTGCTGCCAAGCGGAAAGTTCAATATCGCGAGGACCTTTTCCACTTTGCAGTAGCCGGGATGGCAGGAGGAGGGAAATCATCTCTCATCAATGCCTTCCGTGGGTTGCGTAATAAGGATATCGGATCTGCCGCTACTGGCGTCACCGGGACAACACTGGCCATGACCAGATACGCCAGCCCCAACGTAGAATACCCATATGTCTGGTACGATATCCCGGGCGCAGGCACACTCAAAATCCCAGACTGGCAGTATTTCAACACCCAAGGACTTTATGTCTTTGACTGTATCATCGTGCTGTTCGACAATCGATTCACCATGACCGACATTGCCATCCTCACCAACTGCAAGCGTTTCAAGATCCCCACGTATATCGTGCGTTCTAAAGCAGACCAGCACATCCGTTTCATCATGAAGGACATGGGGTACGACAGCGATGACGATGAGAGCGAGGACCGGAAGAAGAAGCTTTACCAGGCTGCACGGCAGCAGTTCATTCAGCAGACGCGCCAGATCGTGAAAGACAATTTGGAAAATGCAAAAATACCCGACCAAAGGGTTTACATCGTTTCGAACGAACCTATGCTTGGTGTCGTGAAGGAAAAGCGGCCGAGGCAGGCCATTGACGAGATTGAATTGTTGAACGACCTAATTGGAGAAGCCCAGACCAGGCGAGCACGCTGTGATGCTGAAGGGTGACTATGCAGGAGAAGTAGTCGGTGACAATGGTTCTTCCTGGGCCCTTTAATTACTGATACTTCATTCTTGGGATGATCGTATTCGAGTTCGTGACCGATCTTGACCAGCTCGCAGTTGATGATAATACAGTTCTTCTTCCTCTGAGGCTGACATTCTTACACATGTTCTTGCTGCTTGTGAACGACTGGCTTCCACATCCCACTGAACACACACATTTACAATGTCCGCAATTGAAATTTCTGGTATGAACCTAGAACTACAGCACGTTAAAGGTATCTCAAGACTTCTGATCCCACATCCAACTTCCTTGATCGAGGCAGCTATGAATGGGGTTTAGGTTCCAGAGTTTTGTCCATTTTGAGATAGGGGCTGATTAGAAAACCCCTCAAGGCAGCTTTACTTCTGTTCTTCGTTGTGATCCGGTGTGAACCTATAGCACTCATCACTAACGCCGTCAAATTTTATTCCGGAAGCCTACACATCTGGGTAAGTTTTCTCAACTCGAAAGATAGAGGCCATCATGAGACATGACGATTGACAGGTCCATATCACATCGAGAATGGGAGCTTGGTTCAGTCAATTTTGGCCAGAGAAGCCTAACCCATCCCTCGTCGAAATAGAAGCACGCCAGCGTGCAGAAGCGGCAGCCGAGAAGGCTCGCAAGGAGGTCGAAATTGCCCGTGCGAATCAAGAATCGCAGCAGAAAGCTATGGAAGCTCAGCAAGCCGCACAGGCGCAGGCGTATCAGGAAATGACGGCGATGTTGCAAGCCGAACGCGCTGCTAGTGAAGCTGCACAGGCGCAGGCTCACAAGGAGATGATGGAGATGATCCAGGCTGAACGCGCTGCCAACGATGCTCGCTTGAAGGCGGAAATTGAAGCTCATGCTTCCCGTGAAGAAGCGAAGCAGAGAGCAGCAGAAGCAGAGGAGGAGCGTAAGCGAGCCGCCGCCATACAAGAACAAATCGAAAAAGAGACTCGGGCTGCCCAGGAGCATACCAAGAAACTAGAGGAGGCTGCCAACGAGGAGAAGAGAATGGCAGAGGCGGCCAGTGCGCAGGCGCAGGCTCATAAGGAGATGATGGCGATGATCCAGGCCGAACGCGCTGCCAATGAAGCTCACTTGAAGGCGGAAATTGAAGCTCATGCTTCTCGTGAAGAAGCGAAGCAGAGAGCAGCAGAGGCAGAGGGGGAGCGGGAGCGAGCCGTCGCCTTGCAAGAACGAATCAAAGAAGAATCTCAGGCTGCCCGGGAGCATACAAAGAAAATGGAGGAGGCTGCGAAAGAGGAGATGAGGAAAGCAGAGGAGGCGGCCAATGCGTTGAAGAGAGCGGCAGAGGAGAAACTCAGGGAAGCAAACGTTGCCAGGGAAGAAGCCGAAGGCAAGCTGGCTCAAGGAATTCAACCTTTGGTGACTCCTACACCTGAAGAAGTTAACAACACAAAGTCGCTAGCTAAATATTGCGAAGACCTTTTCCACATTGCAGTTGCCGGGACGGCAGGAGGAGGCAAATCCTCCCTCATCAATGCCTTCCGTGGCTTGCGCAACAATGATACCAGAGCTGCTGCCACTGGTGTCATTGAGACAACGACGGCCATAGCCCGATGCCCCGATCCCAACCCGGACTATCCGTATGTCTGGTACGATGTTCCGGGCGCAGGCACATTTAAAATCCCAGACTGGCTGTACTTCAATTCCCAAGGACTTTACATTTATGATTGCATCATCGTCTTATTCAACGATCGCTTCACAGAGACCGAGATCGCCGTTCTTACCAACTGCAGGCGTTTCAAGATCCCCACGTATATCGTGCGCTCCAAGGCAGATTCGCACATCCGAGACCTCATGAAGGAAGAGGGGTATAACAGCGACGACGACGGCGGGGATAAGAAGAAGAAGCTTTACCAAGCTGCAAGCCAGAAGTTCATTCAGCAGACGCGCCAGAGCGTGAAAGACAATCTGGAGAATGCAAATATGCCTGACCAAAGGGTTTACATCGTTTCGAACGAAACAATGCTCGATGTCGTGAAGCAAAAGCGGCCGAAGAAGGTCATCGACGAGATTGAGTTGTTGAGTGACTTGATTTGGGCAGCTCAGATCAGGCGCCTAGGGCGCAGTGAAGCTCTTGTGGCGACTACTGTGAAGAAAATGCTGCAGTCTATACGTGCTAACAGTGGAATCTGAAGGGCCTCGTTACACATTTTCCAAATTTGTTTGGACCGTTGGGAATTTGATTTGAAGGAATCTATGTTTTCCGTTCTTATCAGTGCTTCATCGCCGTAAACGAAACGAATAATGATTACAGAATTCTACATTCGAGATTGCTGGGATAAACCTAGAGATGAAAGGAATCGCAAGACTTCCAATGCAACACGGTCTTGCGCCTGCAACATTACCCAATGGCCAACATCCTCGATGGCAACGGTATTGAGTCGTGAGATGAATTTGTGCGCGTTTCGGACCGCTGACGGAGGACACGTGACATCTTTGGTTCCATACAGGAAGAGAACAGGAAGATTCGGAGGTAGATGTACAGGTAGCTGAGCCTCTGGCTTGGGATGAGAAAAGAGTAAGACAGTGAACGAGTCGTATCTACCTTTCTCCTCTTCAAATCGCGTTTTCGTGGTTCGGTAATAAGACAAGGGCCCTCGCATGCCGCGTTGAAAACGAGAAACATAGAATTGTAATTCCTATCATGAAAATTGTTATCAGCATGAACGTTATCACGAACGATACATCATTACACGTTCATTGAGGAGGCAATCATCAGTAAAATTGATTTGCTTGTTAGTGATCAGTTCGTTCAACTTTGACCACGACAATGCCTTTTCAGGCGTTCTGAACGCTGAGGCGAGAAAGGGGACGAGCTTCGATCACCTAAGTCAAAGGCATAACATAAAAAGGAAGATGCACACGTTTGCCTCGATCTCAGATGTTGACGATTCGGACGCAAAATACATCTGATATCCATAGGATGGATATGCTCTGACCAACTCCTCGAGAGACACATATTGTTCCTTTGGAGGAACATATGGAATAGATAACCTGGGCATATCTCGTCTGTTGTCTCATCGAAAGCTCAAAAAATACGCACATGACCAGTGCTATCAACCGATCCGGATGCCACAGAGCAAATCTCCCAGCCATGTATGAGCCCCAATCATGGCCAATCACCACCTGCGTTTCTCGAATTCAGCACATCGAGAGAATTGGTCCATCAGATCGAACGAACGAACGGCTTTGGGTATCGCCAAGAAATCAAGAAGTGCAGAAATATCATTGCAGATATTTTTCGGGGAATACGCTGAAGAATCATGGGGCATGTCGGTCTCGCCATAGCCTAGCATGTCTGGAACGATCACACGGAAGCCTTGTCGACACCATGGACCAATCTGATACCGCCATCCGAACCTAATCGATGAATTGACGTTTCTAACGAGTAGGTTGATTATCGAGATTACCATGAATCAGGAAAGCCATGTAAACAAACTAGCGGTGGTTGGGTTGGATCATAGTTACTTGGGACTTGGTCAATGAAATGATAAAGGCGACCAGTAGAAATTTGAGCGGTGCGATGACTAAAAGTTTGAGGATCTGTTGGATTCATGATGGGAGTCAACGTGAAGGCAGTGTCGGTACCGCAGCTGGGAACTAAATCCGGCAAGTTCCAAGTCGCCTTTGTGAAATACTTCCAACACGCCTCTGCCTGAACTGCCAGTACATCGTCTTCCAACAACGTTATTCTCTCTTTCAGCTTCCCCGCATTTACCGATCCCTGAAATAACAGCCTTTTTTCTGATTTTTCACCGTTTTTTTTCTACTGCGAGAGTTGCAAATCTCAAACTTCATTCATATCACACAAACTACAAGTAAGTCTTCACACTTCCTTACGGTTTTGTCTTCATGAATGCCACTCATACTCTTTCATGCAGTTCTTAATATGCCGGCTATCGTATCACCTACCGTACCCCGTACAGATGTTTCTGCAAAGTCGAGGTCTTCTCCACAACCTCGCAAGACTCGTATGGTCAAGCCCAGGGGAAGGGGTAGAAACAATTTTGAGAGTGACGAGGAGTTCGAAAGAGAGGTCGCAACTGACTCCGAATCTGATGATGATCGTTCCTCAGTTGCCACTGAAACCGACTCCGACACTGAACCTGCCTCTGCAGAGGACATAGCTTCCAACGGCCATTCGCACATTTTAACGCCCAATACGACTCAGAGCTCCGAGGACGTCCCATCGCTCAACCACCGGCCAGTCAAAGACATCGATGGTGACTCTACTCCTTTTTTCAGTGCCGCTGGCAACTGGTCGGAGATGGTCGCTGAGGAAACTGCCAATGGCCCTGCGGAGCTTCCAGTTATAGAGTTCGCAGATTTCAATAGCCCTTCTATCCCCCAACGCACTTTGTCAGGACCACATCCGCGTAGAACAGGTAAAGCGTCAAAGCGCCCCCAGCCCAAGCGCGCGGTCTCAGCGCCTTCGTCTGACCGTGGTGCTGTGGCGCCTCAACTCCCCCCTGTTCAAGCTGAGGAGGAGGCCTCAGAGCCCGCAGATGATCAGCCCCACGCATCGACGTCCCGACAACAATCCCGAAATTCGTTCTCCAGGCCCCCTTCTGGACACAATGCTCGTCAAGCTTATCAGCAGAGACTAGAGGCGGACCCATCCTATGTTCCCACTGTTGGTGAGTTTTGGGGCCACGATGATCGACTGCTGGATAAGGACCTTAGGAGCCTGAGTGGGTGGTGGAGAGGCCGCTGGCAGGGTAGGGGTCGCGGAAGAGGTGGTTTTGGTTTCGTGCGTGGTAGGGGCAGAGGAGCCTTTACTGGCCCAGAGTCTAGTCGACCTGTACTAGAAACCTCTGGATCTCAAGAGACAGAGAAACCCCCAGTTGAACCGTCCCTTATTGACCAACCGTGGACCCACGACGGTTTCGAGGAGATGAAGAAGCGAGATGAAAAGAGGCGTGCAGCTGCACCAAATCAACAACAGCAAGCAGCAAGGTCTACACGAGGTTTCTTGCCATTTCGTGGCAGGGGTGGATTTATTACCGGCCGCGGACGTGGCGGTCTTGCACGTGGCGGTTTCACGCCTTCACCGACTGGAGCACACTTCATTCCTCCTGCTGCCGCTGCCGCTGCATCAGGCAGAACGTGGTATGCGATGAAGCCCGAACGTGTCTGGACAAAGCAACACGAGGGTTTCCTGTTTTTCGACCCCACCTTGAAGCCTCGTTCCGGTCAAGGTCCAGGCTATCGGGTCAAGCTCTCTGGCAATGAAGGGAAGATTGTCAGAAGCTCTGCTCGAACCACTCAAGTAACAGAGCCTGTGCCATCTGTGGTTGCACCTTCAGAGGCGAGTGAGAAGACATTTATCGTGCGTCTACCCAAGAGGGCAGGAAAGGAGAAGGCACCAGAGCCGACTCCTGAGGTTGTTGAGACTACTACCGCTGCAGATCCTCCTATCGAAGATATCTTCACAGTTCGACCGGAACTCGTGCCCCCAAGGCAGCCCATTCCAACTTCGCAATCAGCTTCGCCTCTGGCCAATGGTCACGTGCCTTCTACACCGGTATCTGCTGTGCCTTCCACACCTGCTGTACCAACTCCTTCATCACCTGATGCCTCGAAAGAGAATATCACGTCACCTCTTTTGCAGCAAATGATGCGCGCGGCCGCAGATCAGCAGGTTAAGGAGACTACAGACGTGCCAAACGGCATATTGCAGGAGCAGTACGACCAGAATGTGCCTGCTCTCCTTCAAGTCGAGCAACCCGCAACGAACCCTGACACTTCTGACGCCGTCCGTTCACCGATGCCTCCACCCCTGCAGACTGTGTTCTCGCCGCCATCGCAGCCCTCGCCTCCGTACGGATCGCCGTATGGATATGGCTCTCCTCTACCGCCCGGTGTGGCCATCGGCCACCATGGTATGCCGTATGAGATTGCCACGGGTCGAGCAGTGTATCTGCAACACCCGACAATGTACACTCCACGCCCGTTAGCCCATGGCATGATGACACCCCCAGGGCTTCCATATACTCCTATGCATCATCATTCTGCTAGCTCTCCGGATTTCCTTGCGCCATCACACACACCTCCTGTTAATGGTTACATTGACCCATCAACTGGCAATCCGCTCTTCTCCTTCCCTCGCCAGAGTTCTCGCATTGAAATCCGATCACCAACCACTCATTCGGATCTTAAGCAGTTGAAGAGCAGGCGTCTGCCTTCCAGTTTGAGGACGAGCGCAGCCTCATTTGAGCCTTCGCGTCCCGCAAGTCCCAATATCGAGTCACAGGCATACCAGTCACCTGAAGATCATTCTGCACAGGATGATGCAAATTCAAGTCAAGCCAATGACCAAGTGATGCCAGAGCAAGCAATGGAGCCCACCATGTACGGGTACCCGCCATATCAACAGCAGTACTACTATCCCGAGCACTACGGGTACTCCCAGTACTACGACATGTCTCACGTTCCACAGTACGAGATGTATCCCACCGACCCACATGCTTCTCAAGTCTACTACTAGTACTAATATGTTATATCTTCTGATGCTGTTGTTTTTCTTCTGTTCTTGCTTTGGGATACATACGTACACCGCTATCCATGACCGTTTCATTACTCACGATCTTGACGTCCTCAGGTCTCAGCAGTTACCCTCACAGACTTCATATTGCTCCAATGCGTTCCTTACTTTACTCATGCTGTTTCACTTGTGTTTCTCTTACTGCAATACTTCTCGGGTCTTGAATATGATATTGGCTTGTTGACACTGTTGTTGAATATTTTACTCGTGTAGTTGCTTGCAATGCTCAATTTCTTCCCCACTCATACTTGGAGTATTACTCATGCATCAGTAAGACCGTGGTAAGAAGGGCACCAAATATGGAAATATACACGGATGTTAGTCATCCATTGACATTGGTCATCAAGCCTGTTTTCTGCATGACACAGCAAGTAGCAATTTCTGTCCCAGACCACCACCATCACTCACCACGGCCTTGGTCGGGCTCATCAGATTGAAAATATTGGGCCGTATTTCTCAATCAAGTGGTATGTAACAGCGAGCTAATGTCTAATTCTGTGAAAAAGCTATATTACTCCCATAATTAGATACGTTTTAGAAAGAAACACGTTCGTTGTATTCGACGCGGCTCAGACCGCTATCCAGTCTCGCAGAAACCGCACACGGGATCTTGCAGCCAGTTATTAGGATGGCATTCGCTCAGCCTTTCCCACTCGCAGCAGCAGCCCAAAAAACACAACAACCGGCGTTCGGTCCTGACTTAGCCGTGCGTCTCATTTGCCCAGAGTGCAGAGATCCAAATCCAAATATTGTCGAAGAGTTTGGGAGCGGGGATCTTGTGTGCGGAAGCTGTGGACTGGTCCTGGGTGATCGTATTGTTGATACGAGAAGTGAATGGAGGGTGAGTCTTATTGTCTCCTTTATTGTTGCGATAACCCTGCACCTATTATTATATGTCTAGACATTCGCAAATGACGAAGGCGATGATCCTTCTCGTGTTGGTGCTGCGTCGGACCCTCTATTGGAGGGTATAGAGCAACTAGATACGCTCATCAGTTTCCGTGATGGTGGCACGGGAATTGCACGCGAGCTTCAACGTGCGGCTTCTCGCTCCCAGAGCTCCCGCTCCGAGCGGAATCTTCTTACCGCGTTCCGCGACATTGGCAGCTGGTGCGATCAATTCTCGCTTCCCAAAACCATCAGCGATATTGCCAAGCAGCTATACAAGCGCTCAGATGAGGAGAAGCTTCTTCGTGGAAAACCCCTCGAGGCTGTAATTGCCGCGTGTATATTTATCGCGTGCCGCCAAGCCCACGTCCCTCGTACATTCCGCGAGATTTGTAACTTGACCCACGTGTCGAAGAAGACGCTTGGACAGTGCTACAAGGCACTTGAACAGGCTTTCAATCTTTCCCCGGGAGCTACTGCACAGGTCAATGCGAATGGAAGCAACCCGTCCACTGGCCCCGAAAACTTGCTTGTTCGTTACTGCAACCACCTTGACCTTCCTGCCAATGTCCAGTCTATTTGCGGTGATATCATTGTTGCAGCACGTCAGCATGGCGTTGCGGATGGTCGCAGTCCGGTTTCTATCGCTGGCGGAGCGATTTACTTTACTTGCCACTTACTAGGGAAACCCAAGTCTTCCCGAGATATTAGTGTAGTTGCTGGTGTCAGTGAAGGCACCATCAAGTTGGTGTATAGGTTGTACTACTTAGAGAGGGAGAAACTGGTGAAGGAGGAATGGATTAAAGAAGGGAGGGCAGACTTGGAGAGGCTTCCTGTTGAGCGGTAAAGGGATGTAACCACCCTTTGTATACCGATTTGTTACGGATATTGAATTGACAGTGGTACTTATAATGATCAGCGCTCAGCGGAGTCATTTGACATGACAGACTGCTCGTGTAAATGAGTGACATACTATGCAACACTTTTAATAACTAGCGTTTACCGCCCCGTTTCCCCCTTGCTCCTTTTTTGTTGGCTTCACGAGCAAGAGCAACACCACCTCTGCCCTTGCTTACATTCCGTATTGCCTTCCGTACGTTGAGAGCGTCATCGCCTGCGCCTTTCTCCTTTCTTGTTCTCTTCACATCGCCATCTAACTTCGACAGCACGGCAAGTGATGCCTGTTTTTCTTGTTCGACAGATGTTTCTGTAGCCTCGAACTACAGACAGTGAGCCGCATAAAGATATGAGGTGTGTTGTTCCGAGACTTACCTTGCGCTTGACACCTCTCAGTTTCTTCTCTCCATCAAGCTTCTTGTCGAATCTGCCCATGCTTGCAGTGCTCATTCGAGTGGTAGCCAGTGTCCGCTCAATATCCTTTTTGCGTTCATCCCGACCACTAGCAGCGGTTTGTGCACGAGCATGATTTTGGAGCTGCTGTCGCTCATTTTTGGCGACCCTTGATGTCCGTGCATCACGAGCAGCTTTGACAGGGTCGTGGTCCACGGCTGAAGTGATGATTAGATGAACTTCATTCCAAATAAAAAATAACACGCACGAGCATTAGCCTTGACTTCATGAATCCATTGTTCCTCCTTCTCCTTATTTTTACCATCCTTGCCCCAGCGGTTGACCCACTCCTGTCGCTCTTCATCCCACACCTTCTTTTCACGCACCCGCTTCTGGATACCCTTCGCAGCGGCAAAGCGCTCCCATTTTGTCGGTGGTTTGGGCTTGGGAAGGGGTTTGGCACGAGGTAGTTGTGTTGTTGGCGGAGGAAGTTGGGCAAGTGGGCCATCTGGTGACGGTTGGGTGGGCAGGCCATAGAGTGCTGCTACTAGTGCTTGGATGCCATCTCGAGCAGTCACCTGTAGGTACTCTTCAAGATTTGATCTGCAAAAAATATGTGGATTATAATTCAATGTAATGATCCAAACAAGCGGTCGTACTTGTAACTATCCTCGTCGATTGGGGTGAGGTCTGTGACAGTCAGGAAGCCAGTGTCTACGTCGAGAGGTGTCTCTTTCTCGACCGTAACAGACTGACTGCGCAGAAAGGTGAGTAATTATTGTACAAACAAAAAGAATCGTACAATTTTGCAGCATGTGATGCTAGGATATTTGAGACGTCCATCGTTTGCGCGAAAATACTGAGTGATCAATGTTATGCGCTTATTTAGCAAAAGCTTTAGATTTCAATAAAGCCAAATAACACAACACATGCCGCATGCCTTCCCGTCGTGCCACTGTCGAGCAAGCTTGGAATCCCTTTGCACATCCTCCAGAGTACAACACTAATTCTCCGTCAAAAGGCAGGTCATGAAGACTGAAAGCGAGGCTCCGAAGACCCCAACGCCCACGCAAACTCACGCTCAAACATCGTATACTGCACAATGGGGTACAGCACGTATGTGCCGTTGTCCAAACGTCCCCTACAGTGATCATTATTGAATTATATAATCTAGATATACCAATTGATCCTGCACTTCAGCAGCAATCTCAACACGCCACGTCAAGCTGTCTCTTTGTTCCTCTCCGTTCGGATACTCAATATGTACATCTTATCCAGAACAACTCCATATTCCTACCAGTACACTCACCACTATCCTCAAGCCGCATATTCGCATTATTCATATGTTCCACAACAACCCCAAGTACAGAGGCCACAGGCCTCAACAACGGCTCCTGTAACAGCAGCAACTACCCAGCCCGCAAATGTGAATAATGGGATGGATACCTCCGACGTGGCAACGTTGAATGATGCTCTTGGGAGCGCGGGTGTTGATCTTCGGGTGCGTTACTACTGGCAGTGTATTGGTTTCGGTAGTAACTATTCCGTAGGCGGAGGAGGAAAGCCTGCAGAGGTCCCATGACTCGCATCAGTCATATCGAACCTTCGAAGACAGATCACGCAAACAACCAACTACACCTTCCTTCGACACACGCTTCTTAGGCACCACCATGCGCTCTATTGGTACGGAACACAAGGTGACAAAAATCCCCGAAGACTCGGTGAATTACTTGGCGATTGCCCTCCGTGCCCGCCTACAAGACCTCGTTACTACGATGGTTGCTGCGGCGAACCACCGTACGGACACCCAGTTTGACCGTCCGGCATCTCAATATGAGAACGGCACGTCGATGTGGAGCATAGTCGTACAGAGCGATGTCGCTAAGCAACTAGCTGCATTAGAAAAGATTGAGCGAGAGGAAGAGATGAAAGTTCGAAGAGAACGCAAAGAGCGCGCTGATATGGCTGCTGCACATGCTGCTAACCTCGCCGCGCAAGCGTCAGGCGGCAATGCCATGGCCGTAGACGGAGACGAGGAGGGAGGTGCGAAGAAAAAGAAGAAAAAAGAAGGACCAGGTGTAACAGCGAGGAATATGTCTGAAGATGTGCGTAAAAAGATGTCGAACGCTGTCGCAAGTCAGGCTGCTGGAATTAGTTCGAAATATTCATGGATGAACGCTGCAAACGCCTCTACGGCCGCTGCCAAACCGAAGCCTGCAGCATCTTCGACCGCTACAACAAGTACAGCTACCACTACGACCCCTGCGACTACCACAGCTCCTGCAGCATCAACAGCTCCAGCAACTTCATGGGCGCGGCCGTATATAGGGGGAAAGAAAGGCAGTCCGACATCGCCACAAACAGCAGAGGATGATGATCGGATGTTAATCACAATGCGTGATGCAATGTTTGCCATCGAGAAGGAAAGGGGTCATGGAGGAGGTCGTGGATCCGCTCGTGGATGGTCATAGCCATTTGTACTTGCTTGTGTTGTTTAGATCGTCCGTATGGCTGGTCGCTTGTTTTTAATGCACCCATTTCATATCTGCACTTGAACTCATTTTCATCTTAAGTATTATTTGCATTACAGTAATAGGAGACGACGCTGGCGCCATGGCGAAATCATCGAACGATGAATGTAGGCTCGTGACGGTCCAGCGAGATATCAAATTGGCTGTAGTGCGTTTACGTATAACTAATATTAATATTGCTTACGGCTTCATCGCATCCCACATTGCATTCGAGTCAACACTGCATACAGTGTGGATTCCATGAAGCGGAAATATTGATGATACCCTCGAACACAGCTGGATAGCCATGACTGTGAACTTAGGAGCACATGGCCTGACGAATAAACACAGCAGCCACTGTCCTACAGGGTGTCGTGGGACGTGTGCATTAATACAGCATACACACCGGTGGGATAATAGGGAAAAGAAACGCCCATATTCATCAGGTGAGTCACTTTCTCCGCTCTCTTTTTTCTTGTTGGGCTCAAGGGTAACATCAGAATCTCATCTGAACTTCCAACGCGGCTGCCCCGATAGTCAACTTCCTCAGGAAACGCGCTCTACAGTGGGTTGGGCCCATCTTTCATCACTACTGTCAACATCAGATCAGACCTATAGCCTGAGCACAGACTTTGTAACGTCAAAATTTCACCTGAACCTCCAGTATGGGTTATTGACAATTGACCTAGGGGGTAAATTCTTTTCGAACGAACGCGTAATCCATTTCAGCATCAGCTCTCTCCTGTGAAGGCACATACTGCATCTTCATAATCCATCTAGTCACTTACACATACACAGGCCATGGATTCTAAATCGACGCAACCCCACGCTGTAGCAACTAGGATGAGGTTGAGACCGGTAATGACTTTGAAGGGTGGCTTGCCTATCACATCCATATCTTACTTTCCAGACGGCAAGCGAATGATCAGCGGGTCTTCAAACGAAATTGTTCGAAAATGGGATCTACAGGAGGGTAAGGAGATCAAAGAGGCGCAGATTGTGTGTGAAGAAGATGTAAACGCGATGGCGGTATCAAGGGATGGTCGATGGGTTGTTACTGGTGGTGGAGAGTCTGGTCGCGTGGAGCTCAAAGCATGCAAGGTCGATAAGGCAATCGTGACAACATTTGAAGGCCATTCTGGGCCGATCACTTGCGTCGATATCTCACTGGACAGCACACTACTGGCGAGCGGATCATGGGATGTTACAGCGCGAATATGGAGCTTGAAAACCGGAAAACTCGAGGCCGGTCCATTCAGGAGTGTTGATTGGGTGGGCGCCGTTCGATTGTCAACAGACTCGAAGAAGCTCGCAGTGAAGTCGTGGTCAGGGAGGTGGCTCGAGGTTTGGGATGTCAAAACAGAGATGTTGGCCGTCAGAGCAGGACAATATGGTGGGCCTGCAAGCACACACGCCCCTGTGTTCTGGACAAACAAAAACAAAAACATCCTGACCACACTCATAAACTCAGACGTGACAAGGATCAGCGAGTTCGACGCATCAACACTTAAGATTATCGGAGCGCCCTTTGCAGGGCACACCGAGGCTGTCACCAATCTAGCACTTTCTTTTGACGGTGCTCTCCTCGCCAGTGCTTCAAGCCACGATAATACCATCAAGCTCTGGGCCTTTGAGTCCCGCCAGCTCCTCGCATCATTTGACGTCCAAAAACCAACATGCATAGTCCTCTCACCCAATTCGCGTCAACTAGCTTATACGACATCGTCCAAAGGTGATCATAAAATCTATATATGCAACACTGCACCCGAAATCCTTGCTAGCGTGGGGCCCGTGCCAGAAGGACGGCAAACCTCCTCCAAAGTATGCGTTCATCAGCGTTCACACACCTGGGCACTAACATTCTCCCGAAGACTAATCCAACCTTTGAGCGTCTACTTGAAGTATGCCATATATTTTCTCTGTTATGCTCATTCATAAGAATCATTGCAGTCTGACGCAACCCGTCGTCGCCGCAACCTAGCGACATCGCCTGCCATATCTTTTCCCCCTAGGTTACAAAAACCACTGCCTACAACAGAGTCGCAGAGACCCACTTTCCTTCTCCATCTCCGTAGATTCCTCCGATTCTCCCCCTCCACCAATGCAGTCCCTCCAGTACAGCATGGTCAGCCTCGTGATCCATTGGATGTATGTATCTTCATCTTTGATTCTTTCATATTTTTGACTTGGTGGTCGCCCTGAAGTTCCCTGCCACATCGCCTCTACCGCCTAGACGTTCTCTATCAGCACAGGCCACAACTCATCCTGATGATGTTTGTCTTCGCTTGAATAAACTTGCAATACATCACTGAGTACTTATTCCAGTTCGAAATGAGTTCTCAGCCCCGCACTTCGGACGGAGTCACGCAGTTCCTGCGGCATCTTTCCTCTCGTATTTCAAGACCCAACCACGGGCCACCAGTCTTTGAAGTTGCGGCTGGGCGAAAGGTCACTGTAATATGATATTCCTTATGTTTTGCTGCCTTTTTTCTGATTTGTACCCTACAGCGGCTTGCTGCTGCCAATCTCCCAGAATACAGGAAAGTCGACGACACCCGGCATCCGTCTCGGCAGCCTGTGGTGCCGCAGGACGCCGAGTCGTCCGACATTGACTCGCTTCCAGACGTGCATTGGTTCAAGGCATTCCTCTGCTACTATTCATGCTTGTCTCATGGCAGACTGAGGATGCCTCCTCGATGGCGTTTGGAGCGCGTTGACATACCCCGCCAGAATGGCGCGACGGGTGCTTAGCAGCCACGATGTGGCTCATGATGGCAGTTTAGCTCAACGTGCAGTCATCTACATTCGTTGGATTTCCCACAATTGATACTCGTAGTCTTCCATACCGATACCTACCGATTCTGCTTGTAAAGTGGCTATCTCGCATTCACCGGATATTTTAGTATAGATATTGTCGCTCTCCTGGTGTGTTATCATATGAATATTGTCAAAAGCGAAAAACGAATTTAATTGGCTGACTACGTTACTGATGTACACTACATATGGTAAATGTGCAAGTACTTACCTCGTCAGCTCATTGAACAGACGAAAGGCATGTCAACAAATATTAGTGTAGCATAAAAAAATAGATAGATCAAATACACGTTGATCCTTTCCGGCCTTTGAATTAACGAGACGCTTGTACATTCCCCAAATTTGTGTTGCAAAATGTGTGAATATGAGGTACAGGCTGCCGTAAATACTAGCAACCATTCAGAGTCCAGATTACTTCTCGTCCTTGTATTGATGACAGGCAAGCTGGTCACAAGCACATCTTCCGTCGGACAATATTCATCAGTGTCCCAGTGACAGCTCTGGGATCTGATGAATGTTTTCATTTGGAGGTCCAGTCGGACCAGAATAAGGATACTACTAACTTGAATTTGACTTATCCAGTTGTTTGTCGAAACCTTCTGGATCAAACAAGAACAAATAAATCCGTTTAAGTTAACGACTTCGATTCGACTCCGGGAGGAATTCGGCCGGTCATACTGGTCGACGGCATTGTGCCAAGGTTTCACAGCAGCGACACTTGCCTGAAAGCAGATCTCAGGCGATGGTCGCTACACAATAACACTCGCGTTGCTCGACCTCAATACTCCTCCAAATTCCTGTCTGTCAGTCATTTATCACTTTACCGAGGAATTATCTTCCGAGCAACATCGTTCGTGCGTGGGGAGAAAGAGTGAGACAGAAGTATACCCCCCTCTTTTAAGCGATACAATATCATCCGAGTCGGGTCACGCATCTCACTTACCTCCTGGAGCCATATCTAAGCTTCACTACATTGATCCTCACTTATGTGAATTCCTGACCGTCAGGCCTGCGTCATTTAGAAGCGTCACTCTGCGCTCGGGTATCGAGGAGGATTGAGTTCGCAATTCGTCATGGTCCAAATTACACTTACATTCTTAGTCTCGGCCCACACCAACACCGCACGTCCGGTACACTTTCCCTCTTCTTCTACTACTCTCACAGTCTGCCTACACCATATGTCAACATGGTGGCCATTTCGTGCATGCCATGCACTGTCTATTGTTGATACCTTTCTATCAGGCAAACAGGTGTGGTAATTTTTATTTATTGCCGTCGTTGAGATCTCATGCATTCGCAGTGCATCGCTGTAGCGGGTGCTCCTATTAATGATGGCTGGATACATAATGAGGTCTCCGATCTTCCTTTGCCTTGTTTTAACGCGCACAGACAAAGACTGAGAATGATGGCCCAGGGGCCAGTTTATGCTGCTGCTTCGAATAATCTGATTTTGCGTACGTTGTCCTATATTTTGATGTTGATTACCCTTGTCGCATTCTTATCCATGAATGTGGGCCGCTGATATGTTATTACTCCTTGATGGCATCTTAATTCAGCAGTTTATCAACGACGTCGGCGTTTGTAATTGTATGATCAGAATTTCTCTATCGAATGCTAAAATTACGCTGCCAGATGTCAGGCTTTAATGCGATTCGGGAGGTTTCATAATGCCGTCGGCCGAGCCTTGCAGATGCGTCTATTTCTTTGACTTCGCCGTGCCACCCCTCTCTGACTATCAGCCGTAGGCATGTTCGTTCTTCCACCCCACGTTCGAGGGCTTATCGTTAGAGTGCTAAATTTCTTAAATACATAGCACCTTGTATAGATGGATCTATAAACTGGAAGGTGGGAAATGGAAATCACTAATGGACGCTTTCCACAGAGAAACTTTGGATATGGCTGTGTGCCACCAAACAAGGAGACAAAATTTATCAGCCCCTTGGTAACATGAAAATCTCATCTCAACTTGCAGTGCCGATGAACTAATGATGAGCTTCAAACAGGCAAAGTGACCACCCATCTTCAAAATCGTCATTAGCTTTAGGCCTATCGCGCACTAGGAAGCTTGGCGCTATTCCTTTGAACACATTCACATAATCCGAACCCCGTTCTTAGCTAATTGCCATTGTCACACCCGATGTCGCATGGCCTGGTTTCAACATCGATACAGCACGCCGCTGCAGCAAACAATATAGTTCTGGATCCGATAATGACCCTGGAAGGGCATGACAAGTATATTCGATCGATATCCTACTTTCCAGATGGCCGGCAAATGATTAGCGGTTCTTGGGACAAGACTACTCGGCAATGGGATCTACAGGAAGGTAAAGAGATTGAGGAAGCACGCAACGTTTGTGAACGGGGAATTTGGACGGTGGCGGTATCCAGGGATGGACGATGGGTTATCACAGGAGGCGGAGGTCTCGGTCATGCGGAGCTCAAAGTCGTTGAGGTTGAGACGGGAATTGTAAAAAAATTCGAAGGTCACTCACGAGGGATCAGCTGCATAGATATCTCCGCAGACAGCAGGCTCCTGGCGAGCGGATCATGGGATCGCACCACGCGAATATGGAGCTTGGGCACTGGCGAAGTCGTGGCTGGTCCATTCGAGAGTATTGATTGGGTGGGCGCAATTCGTTTTTCAGCAGACTCAAAGAAGCTCGCAGCGAAGTCAGAGGGAGGGAAGTGCCTTGAGGTGTGGAATCTCCGCACAGAGACTTTGGATGTTAGAGTTGGGGAATCTGGCGAAATGCCCTTCACATCTGCGCCAGTGTTTTGGACAAACAGAAACAAAACTATCATAGCCACATTCACCTTCACATTCGATGATGCGACAACGATCTATGAGTTCGACGCGTTGACACTGGAGACTGTCGGAGCTCCCTTTGAAGGGCATACCAAGATTGTTCGTGGTCTAGCACTTTCATTTGATAATGCTCTCCTCGCCAGTGCTGCAGACGATAACACAATCAAGCTCTGGGCCTTCGAGTCCCGCCAGCTCCTCGCATCCTTCAATGCTCGGACTCCCGAAACCCTTATCCTTTCACCCGACTCCAGTCAACTGGCTTACACGACAGGTCGCAAGATCTGTATATGTAACATTCCACTCAACATCCTGGCCATCATCGGACGTGCACTTGAAGCACGGGGAGGTCATGGTGTACGCATTCGCCGCATATGTTATCATCTATGCGCCAACATTTCCTTACAGGGCAGTGCAGACAAAAATTCAAGGCTCGATCGCCTGCTGAATGTTCGCATTTCATGCCTTTTTTGTTTCCACAACTTATACCGTGTCGTCATTGCAGTCTCACGCAAACCGTCGTCCTCCTGCATTTGGCCGTCACCGAGCGACATCGCTGGTCATATTGTTCGCCAATAGGTCGCACAGACCTCAGCCTGAAATACACCCAGAGCAGCCCGTTTTACTACATCACCTCCGCAATCTTTTTCGCTTCTCTTCTCGTGCAAGGGCTGTTCCTCCTATCTGGAAAGATCAGACTCATGATCCACTAGATGTATGTCTTTGTTTGAATTATTCACTGTTAGATTAATGATCTCCTGCCAGTTCTCCGCCATACCCTCCAACCGTGTTCTCTTGGGACAGGCCAAAACTCACTTTGATGATGTCGGTGTCCACTTTTGATGAACGCTCGATGCATTATTGACTACACGTTCAGGTCGAAGCGATCTCTATGCCCTACCACTCTGCATATGACGGCTCACAGCACACACAGCAAGCACATCCTAAGGAGGAAAGTTTGCACCTCTCGAACAGAGCTATGCAGTTCCTGCAGCAGCACTTATCCTTCTGTAAGACAACACTCGGCTACGAGCCACCGGTCGTTGATGTTGCAGCTGGACGCAAGTTCACGGTAATGTGGATATTCTAACCTCTTCTTCCTTGTTTGTTGATCGGTGCCCTACAGCGGCTTGCTGCTGCCAACTTACCTCAATATAAGAAAGTTGACGACACCCGACATTCATCCAAACAGCAGCCTGAGGTGCTGCACGACACCGAGTCCGGCGACATTGATTCACTCCCAGACGTGCATTGGTGCAAGGCGTTCTTCTGCTACTATTCGTGCTGGTCTCATGGCAGACTGAGGATCCCTCCGCGATGGCACTTGGAGAATGTGGACCCACCTCAACAAGATGGCACGACGAGAACCGGTCGTGGTGGGGCTCGCTGTCACAACTAGTCTAATTGTGTTCGTCGAATGTCCTTTTAAATTTTGAATTCGGGAGATGATAGAAATTGTCTTTGTAGATCTCAGTGCACCACAACATTCAAATATTAAAAAGAAACATCGTGAATTGAAAGCTGACCCCACTCATGGTGTTTTGATCTTCAGGTTGCTTCCAACGATTGGAGTGAGCTACAAGGGACGGAGGAACTGCGACTCTAATATGACTCTACAAGCCTTGACTCGGTAGAATCATCATAATCGTTTCGCAGTCCTCGTCTCTCCAGTTGAGCATACTCTGGCATCTATCGATGATTCGATCAACGTCAGCCCCTCCTACTGAGAACTGTAGAGCTGCAGGCGCCGAGCACTTGAGTACGACGTTGAAAGCAAATATTGCCTAGGCGCAGACAATGTGCACCAAGACACATGTCTGCGGTTATCTTCTGAGTTCTGAGTCTTCTGACCAACTGAGGAATCTTCCGCATTCAGTCACGTTGCAGCCTCAACTTGGGTTACTTGCCACAGCGCCCCATCCCAGATCAATTATCGATGGACCGGCGCGGCTGGCAACGTACCTGCCTCTGGCCATGGAAGCCGGTATGGCCTCACCCTAATATTGATAGATGCTTACGGTACGAGGAACTTCTAGTGACTGACTAAGTTATGCAAAGGATGGCAAACACCCGCCTGCACCGTGACCGTGACCCACTGCTGGAGGGGTACCTCACTGCAACGAATCAAGGAAAGCTTCCATCATCTTTTCCTGAGAACGTGGAGTGGACAAATGCATATACATACCGTTGGTGCGACCTTTTGTAATTGTGGTAAACCAGTTTTAACAGACTGATTAATGCGAGATTGGCGTTCAAACGTAGGAATCTTGGCGGCGGTTGTGAACCCAAAGCAAGAAGCGAATTGGATGGATAGAAGCATTGTCAGCTAGTATCCCACTACAGGCTCTAGCACTGCCATGCAGCAGGGACGCATTAGCAGGCAGGGATGACAGCTGTGCTCACTGAGTCACTCTTTTCCTAGCCTTGTCATGGCAACATCAAACTCCCAGTTCCAAACTCTTAACTCACAGATAAGTAAACTACGATTCACTACAGAAGGAAACCAGACAACACGCGAGGAAAGCGCGCCCCGCCAGTGCTCATCCAAAGACACGTTCCCCAAACTTGACTCCTTAGACCATGGCTTCTACATCAACAAAACCCGCGGCTGCAGAAACCAAGATGAGTCTGACACCAGTACTCACCTTGGGGGGACATGAAGAGCATGTTCAATCCATATCATACTTTCCGGATGGCAAGCGAATGATCAGCGGATCGATGGACAAGACTGCCCGAAGATGGGATCTGCAGGAGGGTAAAGAGATTGAGGAGGTGCGGGATGTTTGTGAGCGGGGAGTCATGTATGCCGTTGTGGTATCAAAGGATGGTAGATGGGTCATCACTGCTGGTGGAGATTTTAATCACACTGGTCCTGGGGAGATCAAAGCCTATGAGGTTGAAACGGGGGTTATTAAAACGTTTCAAGGTCACACATGAATGGTCACTTGCATCAACTCCTCTGCAGACAGTACACTCCTGGCAAGCGGGTCATGGGATGGCACAGCACGAGTATGGAGCTTGCACACCGGCAAACTGGTGGCTGGGCCATTCAAGAGCATTGATTGGCCGGGCGCAGTTCTATTTTCGCCAAACTCGAAGAAACTTGCAGTCAAGTCAGAGACTGGGAAGTGCATGGAGATTTGGGATGTTCAATCACAAAAATTGGATACGAGAGCAGGGGGATTCAAGTTCGTCGGCAAACCCTTCACATACACGCCACTTTTCTGGACAAACAAAAACAAAAACATCCTGGCCGCGTTCAGCTTCACAGATAACGACGTTCCCAGTATGATCTATGAGTTCGACGCGATGACGCTGCAAACTTCTGGAGATCCTTTCGAAGGGCACACCGAGATTGTCACCGGATTAGCACTTTCATTTGATGGTGCTCTCCTGGCCAGTGCTTCCAATGACAACACCATCAAGCTCTGGGCATTCGAGTCCCGCCAGCTTCTCACCTCCTTTAGCGTCCAAAACCCTTTCTGCCTTGTCTTTTCACCTGTCTCACGCCAGCTGGCTTATACTACCCACACCGAGAAAAAAAAAGACAATAATATCTTTATATGCAATACTCCGGCCAGTATACTTATTCGCCGCTCTAATTGATATTGTTCATGTACTGATATTCTCTTATAGGTCAGTGCGCATCTGAAGTCTGGCCCCGGTGATCTACTGAAGGTATCTCATTTTCAAGTTTCTATTCGTTATACCAGTCACTCATCGCCATCATTGCAGTCTGATGCAACTCATCGTTCGGCTGCGACACGCCGTAACCCATCGACATTGCCCGTCATAGTCAGACCGCCAAGATCTTTACCTGCAGTAGACCTACGGCGACCCATTTTCCTTCGCATCCGCAAACTCTTTCGCTTGGGTCTTCCCGTTCAAAATGGTCAGCCTCTTGATCCTCTAGACGTACGTTTCATTATTCTGTTTAACTTTTACAGTTCACTGAGTCGCGCTGCAGTTTCCTGCTACGTTGCCTCTACCTCAAAACTTGTGGCATTCAAATGTAGATTCTCGTGAGAATGTGAGCTTCTGCTCATGCAATCATTTTTCAACTCATACTGTTTTAGTCTCGAGTTACACCAGCATTGCCCACCACCCGATCCTCTTTCGCCGCCTCCACTATCTTCGCAGCACGTCCAAATCCCCTTCATGCTGCTCGGTCTCCACCATCTGTCATTAATGTTCCTCACGCTCAGGCTAAAGAGGTGTGCTCAGTTGGTTTTTTTCATCGAACTGGAAGTCTCATGGATTGATTGCAGCGCAACGCCGCAGCGGGTGCTCCCAAAAAAGACAATAATATAGTACCTGATGAATATCTCGACCCTCCTTCGCCACATCCTGATTCACAAGAATCGACTACTGCAGTACAATCCAACACCGGAGAGCATGGGGGCGATCGGTCGTGTTTCTGTTTCTAGGTGGTTTCATTGATATCCTTTGCGCATATTATATATGGTTGTATCTTTTTCATTATTTATGAACGTAGACTGTTGTATGTTTGCATCTCTTATCTCCACTATGGTCCAGGACATTGACGAGATGCGTGCAACATCATTGGTAACTTGCCGACGACTCACCGAGATATTAATATCCAAATCTCGGAAATTGATCCCATATACAACCAGCTTTCCTTCCTTTGCACACTTATTAAGCCACACCATGCGGAGCATCATGTGGCAGTCGTACTAGATATGGTTCTATCGGACTGATGGCCCATGGAAAACGGAAAGGAAATGTGCGTAAGCAACGTTGCAACTTCCATAGGTGTACGAACCTAAGCTATGATAGCAGAACGTTCCCGCAGAAACCTTGGCCACATGTGAGCCGAAGAACAAGGTGAAGCCATGCACCAGGGACATTAAGGGATATCATGCAGGGTCCGCAGCAGGGACAACCTGCCAAGCGCAATTTGAGCAATTGATGCGGCATGCCTCACATTCAACCTGTTCCTTCTTGGATCAAACCCTCATATCAACTTCCAGCAACTCAGGCTGACGATCAGCTCCAAGTCTAGGAAGCGAAGTGCTCTCGACTGAGTTGGGAATCTCAACTACTACTACTATCAACGGCAGGCCTGCGGGCTGCGGCAGCACACGAAAACTCACCACCACTCTTTCAGACGCTCTGATCTAAATAATTCGTCCCCAAGAAGCTGGCTACTGCAAATTTCGCCTGCAAAAACACGGGCAATGGCATCTACATCGACACAGCCTCTAGTTGTAGCGACCAGTATGACTCTGACACCGGTAATGTCATTGAAGGGCCACGAACGAGGTGTTTCATGCATGTCATACTTCCCAGATGGCAAGCAGATCATCAGCGGTTCCGGGGACAAGACTGCTCGAAGATGGGATCTACAGAAGGGTAAAGAGATTGTGGAGGCACGAGATGTTTGCGAAGAGGGCGTGTATGCGGTGACGGTATCAAGGGATGGTCGATATGTTGCCACTGGTGGTGGAGAGATGGATACAGGGGAGCTCAAAGCCTGTGAGGTCGAGACGGGGATCGTGAAAGCTTTTCGAGGCCACTCAGAGAGAGTTGCCTGTGTTGATATCTCCGCAGACAGCACACTACTGGCGAGCGGATCATGGGATACTACAGCGCGAATCTGGAGCTTGGACACTGGTAAACTCATGGCTGGTCCATTCGCGATCCTTGATTGGCCGGGCGCAATTTTATTTTCACCAGACTCGGAGAAACTCGCAGTAAAGTCAGAGGTGGGGACTTGCCTTGAAGTCTGGGATGTCCACACAGAGACTTTGGATATCAGAGCAGGGAAATCTGGTGGCAATTCGAACAGGGCATTTGCGCCAGTGTTCTGGACCAACAACCTGAAAAAGAGAACCATCGTAGCGGCATGCAACTTCACGAATGATGAAGAAGCTACAACGATCAATGAGTTTGACGCATTGACTATGGAGATTGTTGGAGCTCCCTTCGAAGGCCACACCAAATGTATCACCGATCTAGCACCTTCATCTGGGGGTGCTCTCCTCGCTAGTGCTTCCCAAGATCATAGCATCAAACTGTGGGCCTTCGAGTCCCGCCAGCTCCTCGCCTCTTTTCATGTTCAGGATGTCAACTTACTCATGCCCTCACCTGACTCACGCCACTTGGCTTACACCATCACTGGTCGCGACATCTATATATGCAACACTCCACCCGCTGTACTAACTGCGCTGGAAGCGCAATCCACCCTCCAAAAAGTGTGTCCTTGCGCAAAGTCTATCTTCTGTACACTGACCTACTCTTTAAGTCCAATAAAACTCTTGAACGTTTACTTCAGGTATGTGCCACGTACGGTTTGAGCGATCTATTAATTCTCATGAATCATTGCAGTCAGATGCAACCCGTCGTCCTGCTGGAGTGCGTCGTAACCCAGGGACGTTGCCTGCCATATCCTTCACCCCCAGGCGGCAAAGGCCTACAGCTACTACAGACCAGCAGCAACCGATTTACCTTCGCCTTAGCAAGCTCTTTCACTTCTCCTCTCGTCAGACCAATCAACCTCGTGATCCCCTAGATGTAGGTCGTTTATGTTGGTTCTTTCACAGCTGACTCAACAATGGTACCGTAGTTCCCTGCTATGTTACCTCTTCCATCCAATCTATCTCTCTCGCAGCAGGCCGCAACTCAGGTCGATGATGTCAGTCTTCAAATTTGGTAAACTCGTAATGTATGACTGACTCTGTATTTCCAGTTCGAAATAAGTTCCCCGTCTTACTCCTCAAACGGAGTTGCACAATTTCTACGGCAGCACCTTCCTTTCCTCATACCCAGACATAGCCATGGGCTACCGGTCGTTGAAGTTGCACCCGGGCGGAAAGTCACTGTAACGTGGATATTCTCACATCTCTTTCCCTTTTTTCTCATTAGAGCCCTACAGCGTCTTGCTGCTGCCAAATTACCTGAATACAGGAAAGTCGACGATACACGACATCCTTCTAGCCAACAGCCCAGGGTACTGCAGGACGTTGAATTGTCTGACACTGATTCGCTCCCAGACGTGCATTGGCTCAAGGCGTTCCTTTGCTATTATTCATGCTTTTCTCATGGTAGACTGAGGATGCCACCACGATGGCATTTGGAGCGTGTTGACATACCCCGCCAGGATGGCGCGACGGGTAGCAAACATAGCGGTAGTTAGCTCAATGTGTACCCATCTAATACCCTTGGATGTTTTCAGTCTTCTATACCAGTACACCTTGCTGTCACTACTTCCTCGTCTGAGTGTTCAGACAGTGGAACTCTGGAAACGTGTAGAATCAGCTGTCTAAGCACTTGTACTGATTCTCGTTGTATTCCAATATCGAGCATCGAGGACCGGGTTGGTTGCTAGACGTTCCAAATAATTCCAGCTTACCGCTTGGTGCTAGCATGGGTGGCTATACTTCGTTCCAGTATTGATGCAACAAGACAAAGGTTTGCCTAGACCTTCTACATATACGAAACAGCACAACTTGAATAAATACTGAGAGAGATCCTTGCGGACATTTCTCTACACAATACTGCTAGTTGGTACATGTACACGCTCCTGGAAAACAATCGGATTCATGCTAGTTTCTGCGTCGGAGTCTGCCACGAGTTTTGCGTGATAATGCTAAGGATTAGGCGTGGTCCCAGCACAAACATCTGTACGCCGAATAAAATCTGAACAACACCATAGAACGTCAGAACTCCAATAGAATCTGGATTCTAGAGAAATGATGAGCACTGGTTACAGGCAAATATCAGCGACAGGTTGGCGTACCGAGAGCTCCACAGAGAGAAGACCAAGTTGGAGGCAAGAGGCACAGACAAAACTAGAACTAGCACGTGCAGAACTTGAGAAAAGATAACCACAATCCCATCACAAGCTCACCTTGTAAGATAAAATACGTGACATTTTATCAGCACTCTGAAACAGTCCCCGATGGTACGAGTCATCGCAGGTTGGCACGAAAGTGTTTCACAGCAATATAAACTGAAAGACACAGTGCGAGGACCTCCAAAACAACGTCGAGCATCCAAACCATTGAAAATATACCCCTCATATCCATAATTGCAAATATATGCGCCAGAGAGTATCAGCTCCTCTGGCATCGTCCAATGAGTTGGGTTCTTCGAGTTAACAAGTAAATTTTACCCGCTACAATATCCCTGAGTCCTGTTGCCGCAATTGCTGTGCAGGCAATGTCAACAGCCAGTAAGACGATGACGAGGATGTTAAGCAGCATTCTAGATCTCTGATGCATGGCATGCAATCGAGCAATCATGATGACTTGTATGATGTTTCAGTCGAATCGATATCGCAGCTAGGTGACTCATCGCACCACATGGGAGTCACGACCACATGTCCCATTCTTTGCGTAGATCGTAATATTGCCTGAAACACCCAATTAGCGATCACCCTCGTACTAATATCGAACACTCCGACTTACACCTGTTGAGTCATTATGTTGAACCAAGTTCAATGGTCGGAATCACACTCACCCCTACAAATGAGTGTATTCATTAGATAGGAGTGAGATGGTTACGCAGTATTCATTGCATCTGTCAGCGAGACAGACGGCGCAAATTATGCCGGTCAGAAGGGAGCACAACGCATATGAGACATACCCAGGGGCCGAACGCTGATACCGACGATGAAAAATGGGCTATTAAGCACAGCACAAATCTGTTGGACTTCGAAATATACACAGGATACGGTAGTCCAATATAGCGTATCTAGATTGCGAGTCAGCACAACTGCCCACTATGCTATAGCACAACACGAGATTCAAACAGCCAAATACAGTACAGTCATGAGAGATCGGTGTTGCCTTTGTCGCGAATTCATTGTATTCTCCTGTTTTTCTTCCGATACGGGACTCTTGTCACTCACCCAGATCAATTCGATCTATGACGCTATTCTTAGCGAGTGGGCTGCTCCAGCGATAGTAGCACCAACGTACCTCTTGTCCAAGTGTTAGTATTGGAATTGAATATCAACAGTTTTCGAGCACTGTCCCGCTCACCCCAGTCGTATACTATGATGACGCTGGCAGTAACTGTGAAGTCGCAAGTCAATATTGATTGATCGGACACCTTAATGCGACGATTCAGAACCTGTCCAACAGCTTTCAATCATATATGAAAAAATTCAAGACCATGTTCGAAGGACGAGTGTGAACGAGTGGGAAATGTTGGTGTAGTATGATGATAGTGTTCGTGCTACAGATGGATACTTCATTCCCGAATCAAGCAAAAAGAGGAAGTCCGAAGTAGAATTTTATTACGCACGTGACTACTCGAAGACTGCAACGTTGATGTCGGCAATTCAAGTTATTTCCATCGCTACCTTTGGGGTGTTCTGGCCGAGCCCGAGCCCGAGGCCTGGGTAGCACACCTTATCAATGACGGATGTGGACGATGTGCATGGATGTTGACTCAACATAGGGCGCTCGTGCCAGGTTTGTGACACTGCAGATCACTCCCGTTTTCTTCAACTTGACAATTATTAATATTAATATTGTGTGGTGAGCTTTTACCCGCACCTTCAAGTTGTTGCATGATGAACGATGCTAAAGTTTCGCTAGTGCCCGCACGAACCACGTTTCATTACTATAACTTGAATGTGGCTGAATGATTAGCGCTGCCTTGAGGCTTACGCACCGTGGTCAAGGGTGCTTGTTATTTAAACTTTGGTCCTACCGAGTACTCTCCCCTCCCTCTAATTCTCACATCCATTTTCCTCGGCCTGATCCCAATTTTTGACCGTTCGCAATGACCAAAGACCACAGGCAGGAACCTACTCCAGAGGTCAATGAATCCAGAGAAGCAACTGTAACTGCTGGCGAGAGCTCGGTACGTGCCCTAATAGGATCGCTATCGACAAGCGCTAATGATATCGTCGCTGCCTCTCATGCATCTTTCATCCAGAGCCAGCACCGTAGCGGCTGCGGTCTCCGTCAGGCCCTGCGGAAAGTTAAGAAGAACGTGACTAAAAAAGTTTCTGTACGTCGGCCTGAATGCTGAAGGAACTAGAATATAGCTGATATTGTGCAGAAACGCTTCAAGCGTTCCCGCCGCCAAGTCCCCGTTGTCCAGAATACCGATCATGAAAGTGCTTCGTCGAATCAGAATACTGAGGTAAGCAGTCATTGTTTTGATCTTGAACTTGTCTGAGGTTCACCCAGGATGTGTCGCATCTGCATCCTTCCGGTGGCGACAAGGCCGCCACATCTGAAAATCTCAGTGGCTGTGTAAATCAAGGAATGTCCGGAGAACCTGCTTCGAAGGTATTTACGCCAAACGATCTAGTTTTCATCTCTAAATTCTGATGGTTGTGCAGGTCCTCGACGCCCCTGCTGGCATGGAAGAGATTCCTGATCCCCAATTAGTTGATACTGAACTTCGGGGTGCCCGCGAGGGTACGGAAAGTATGAGACCACTCGGAGGATGCGTCGCTTCTGTGGTATCCAAAACCGAGGATGGGTCAAAAGATCTCGCTGCCGCAGACGATTTCCAGAGCACATATCTTCAACCACTCAAAGTTTTTGACACTGTCATCGAGAATCTTGCGAATGTATGGGCCGTTCTTCTTGGTTGGAAACAATCTAATCGAGTTGCATAGGTACATCCTTATGCAAAGATGGCGCTGGGTATGCTGTCTGCTGCATCCAAAGTACGTGTAGTTTTGCCCTCCTGTTCAGCAGTTGCAGTTGTTGACTCTATGCAGATTATTATCGCTCAAGCGGAACGTGACCAATCGGTGCAATCTCTTCTCGAGAAATTAGAAGACGTTTACCGCTTCATATCACTCGAGGATACTCTTGGCCAGATTTCATCCCAGCGCATGATCGCTGGACGAATCGCCCAGCAGACTCTACATTGCGCGCGTTTCATCAGAGAATACTCGAAGAAGAAGAGCTTTTGTAAGTCATCGAGCTGTTGCATTCTGCATATTGTGGATCTCAAACCATTATGACAGGGAAGAGACTCAGGGAAAATGCCGTCTCAGAGGCGGATCATCTGATTGCACAGTACAACAAGACTTTGGATCAACTTATGCAACAATTTCGGGACCAAGCCATTCGTGACATAGCTGATCTTGTCCAGTTTACGAGTAAGGCTTTGGACATGCTTCTGTTTCTCCATTCCGCTCATACCCCTTCAGATGACGAACTGGGTGAGAAACTGGATCTCAGTGATATGCCTTACGCAGCAGGTGCAGGACTAGACACCACGAAACAATGCCTACCAGAGACGCGCAGAACCATTCTCTCGCAGATCACTGAATGGATCAAGGACAGTAAAGATACTGCCCAGCCTGTGCTGTGGTTATCTGGCCCTGCGGGCACGGGCAAATCAGCCATCGCTCACACAATCGCTAACTGGTTCAACGACTCGGGAGGGCTTGGTTCGTGTTTCTGCTTCGACAGGCGCTCTGGAGCAGACGAGCGTTATAAAAAAGTCTTCTCCACCATTGCTTGCGACCTTGCTGACCGTGATCCGGAGATCAGACGATCATTGGCCAATGCAGTCGGACATGCAAAGGCGCTCAAGAACACGCCAGATATCATCCGGCAGTGGCGCAAGCTGTTTATGGAACCGTTAAAGAAGTGTTCCTAGTCGAGCGTGGGGCCCGTTTTAATTGTGATCGAAGCGCTGGACGAGAGCGGCGGAGTCGAGACACGGCGTCACCTTCTTCGCATCCTTGCTGACACACTGGAGGGCGAAGATCTTCCCAAAATCACCGAACTCCCATCCAACTTTCGGATTCTCATTACCTCTCGCGCGCTTCCTGATATCAATTCTGAATTTCAGGATGCTCCACATATCAAACGGTTATCCATGGACGACATTTTAAAAGAAGACTCGAAGAGAGACATCCGTACTTTTGTGTCCCACGAGTTGAAAAAGGTGTCCGGTCTTGAGGATAAAGAGTTCGCAGTCCTCGCTAACAAAGCTGATGGACTATTCGAGTGGGCACGTCTTGCCTGTGAATACATCAAACTACCCCCTCCTGGCAAATCCGAAATTGATTGCTTCAATGCTGTCGTATCCCATGATCATGGAAAGCGGAAAAACCTGTTGTATGGCATATATAGCTTCATTTTAGGAGAAAACATGGGGAAGGACAGATACACAGACACTGACGATTATCAGCAAGTGCTAGCAAAGTTTCATTCTGTGATGTCACAAATACTTGGCTCGGCCGAATCCCTCCCTTTAAATGCCCTGAACGCCATGTGGCGCCATTTTCCAGACCAAAGCGAGCACTACGAAGTGAAGGACGTGGTAGCACATATGGGATCCCTGCTAAGCAGCACCACCAACTCATCCAGTCCCATCCGACCCCTTCACGCATCCTTCCGCGAATTCCTGACAGACAAATCATCCAGTGGAGATTTTTTCGTGGAGACGTTGAACTTGCAATGCAATCTTGCTTTTGCGTCACTTCGAGTGATGGAACAAGACCTTGGCTTCAATATGTGTAATTTAAAGTCATCATACCTCCCCAACAGTGAGGATACCGGGCTGCTGGAGAGAGTCGCAACAGGCATTCCTTCGCATCTGTCCTATTCCTGTCGATTTTGGGCTACGCACGTCCGAGCAATGGTCTTTGACACGGAGCTTGCCAAGGAAATAGGATCATTCCTCGATAACGAGCGACTTCTCTTCTGGATTGAAGCACTCGGCCTTCTCAATGCGCTCAGTGGTGCAGTTGCTGTACTTCCACTCATAACCCAGTGGTTGAAGGTGAGAACTGAGTCACCTGGTGGTGTCAGGCGAAGTGCTTATGCGCGAACACAGGGCCAACCTGGATATCAAAATGTCTTGTCCACTGCAATGGATGTGCAGAGATTCGTCCAGGTGTTTGGTGGCATGATTTCGCACAGCACGCCGCATCTGTATGTATCAGCACTGCCATTCTCCCCCATCAAGTCTACAATAGCTGCGAATTTCGCTGCAAGGTTTCCGAACACTCTTCGTCTGATGCATGGACATCTTGTGAACTGGACGGCTATTCAGACCGTGATCAGTGGGCACACTGGTTTGGTTTTATCAGTCTCATTCTTGCCCGATGGCACTCACATTGTGTCTGGTTCACAAGATTCCACTGTCCGGGTGTGGGATGCAGCAACGGGGCTGCCATTGGGTGAGCCCTTCCGAGGGCACACTGGTTCAGTTCAGTCAGTCTCATTCTTGCCTGATGGCACTCGCATCGTGTCTGGTTTAGATGGTTCCACTGTCTGAATGTGGGATGCAGCAACGGGGCACACTGGTTTGGTTTACTCAGTCTTGTTCTTGCCCGATGGCACTTGCATCGTGTCTGGTTCACAAGATTCCACTGTCTGGCTGTAGGATGCAGCAACGGGGCTGCCATTGGGTGAGCCCTTCTGAGGGCACACTGGTTTGGTTTTGTCAGTCTTGTTCTCGCCTGATGGCACTCGCATCGTGTCCAGTTCACAAGATTCCACTCTCTGACTGTGGAATTCAGTGACAGAGCAGCAATTCCAGGAACACACTGAGATCCACTCCTCTGCATTCTCTTCGGACAGACATCCCACCACACCTTGCAGATGGGAGACCAACATGTTAGCCAATCAGGCTATACTGTTAGATTAATACATCTTATATGGACTATTACCCATAAATACTCATACATCTTCTTGTCTTATGGTCCACTGCCCATGGAGGATGTATCCTACCATTCCGGGCTTATAAATCCTCGTGCTGGGGGGTTGAATGCCTCAAATGGACAATATCCCCCCTTGTTTCTGGCTGGCCCTTGCTTCCTCTGAATTGGTGCTTCTTGCATGGGCCAACAGTGGCTTCTTTTGATCGTACAGCAGGCACTGTAGACAGATCTTAGATAGGATTTCTGAGAAGGTGCCTGCATCCCTTACCGGTGCCTTGAAGTGCTTGAACTTGTTGTGAATTTGCCAAGTCTCCTTATCACGTGATTTCATGTTTGTTTACTGAGCCAATCTCTTCAATTCTCTCATCGCACGGACGCAGCACAAGGAACTATCAAACATTGTGATTATCTAGATATTTAGATGTATGTCTCTCTTTCTTGTTTCTTTTGCATTTTATTCAATGATCACCTTGCAGTTCTCTCATCACACGAATGCAGCACAATGTTTAGATGTATGTCTCTTTCTTGTTTCTTTCGCATTTTATTCAATGATCGCATTGCAGTTCTCTCATCACACGAACGCAGCACAATGTTTAGATGTATGTCTTTTTCTTGTTTCTTTCACATTTTATTCAATGATCACATTGCAGCTCTCTCCCACATTTTCCCTGCCCTGCCCTCTCTTAGGGAACACCTCAACTCTGGGACGTTAAGATATGCAAACGTGAGCTTTGACCACCTCCCATCGCATTTTTGACTCATATGTTTTCAGTCTCATGAAGATATAGTACCTGATGAATATCTCGACTCTCATTTACGGATCTCTGATTCACAAACATCACCTACCACAGTACGGACTAACACTGGCAAGCATGGAGGCAACCGGTCATGTTTCTGCTTTTCTCCTTGTAACATTGTTTTTTTTTGGCACATTTATTTCACATCTAGCACATGATTACACGCAAGATAGATTTTATTACTTAGGGCCACCAACATTTTAGATACGTCTTGTACTAACAATATGTATCAAAATTAACAAGATAAAAACATCAACAAATTAGTATGAAATATAGCAAGGGTGACAACAAACAAGATAGTGTTCAGACTATGACAATGAGCTGAGTAGATCAGTACGCAAGACAAACACAAGAAACGATATAATAACAGCAGGGACCGACGGACAAATGTGACAGCATGCAACAAAGAAGAGACTCAGGAATAGTAGATCACACCTTCGCCTTCCTGCTCACTGGTTAACAAACCAAAGAGGATATATCATTGAGCACTCACTTGGATTTTGCACTGTGGCTTGATGCATCCTTGGCCAGACGACACTTTGCGGATGGCTTAGGAGGCACGTTCTCCTTTCCTAGGTGACCAATTGAGTTGGCGACGTCATTACGTGTTGACGGTTTAGACTTGCGACTGGTCCTACGACGCCCATCCTCGTGGTTTCTGTTCTTCTGCAGTGTTAGAATCAACCTCGACCAATGTAGTTGTGACAGCAGGCGTGACAGATGGTTGTATAGTAGGGTCTGGGGCCGTCTCTGAAGATACAACAGCAGGTGTAGTAGGAATAGTGGGAGTGGCAGAAGTAGATCCTGTAAGGAGCGCCGTGGGAGAAGTGGGAGGCAGGACAGGTGCAATGGCAGGTTCAGTGGAAATAGGAGAAGTAGATCCCGCTTGGGTAACAAGCGCTGCAGGAGACATGGGAGGCAGGACAGGTGCGACAGCAGGTGCTGTTGAAATGGGAGAAGTAGAACCCGCTTGGGTAACAAGCGCAGCTGGAGAAGTGGGAAGCAGGACAGGTGCAACGGCAGGTGCAGTGGAAATGGGAGAAGTGGGTCCTGCTTGGGTAACAAGCGCAGCAGGCGAAATTGGAGGCAGGACCCCATCAGGAAGTGTAGTGGAGGTTGTGCGGGGAGAAGCGTCAGCGAGTAGGTCATCGGGTGCCATACCAGGCATCAACGGAAAAGAAGTGGTGTCCCAACTGTCAAAAGGGGCAAAGGGAAGCATAACAGGAGGTTCCTGCTGTCCATGAGACTTGGACTGAGTCTGCAGCATTGCGCCAAGAACAGAATCAAACTCTGGAGTAGCCCAGTATGGTGTCTCACCTCCAAAGGTAGCAGAGCCACTAGAGTAGAAGTCCTGAACTTGTCTCCATAGACGGAGATGATGAAGGTTCAAATGGTAAGGAAGCACCTGCTGATACATCCCACGGGGATGACTGTCCAGTCATCGGATATATTCTGCTGGATGTTGGTGATGCAGCCATGATGGGCGATACATCCTGAATGGATACTGGTCTGTCCGATATATCTTGCGACTCCTGAGCAGACGTTAAAAGGCCAGGATCCTTGTCTGTTGAGTTTGCAGGTTAGTTCGACTGTCACAATGTCCCAGGTTTGCAGGCTTACCATATACGCGACACAAGAAATCACGGAAAGGCCCCATGACACCACGCTCAAACCCCGGATATGCCATACTGAAGTCGTTGTTGTGTTTCATTAAGCCAATGTGAAAACTTTGCAAGGTCAGTACAGCCGATTATACACATGAAATGCCCACTGACCTGTACACGTCAATCTGGCCTTGTGCCTCGGGGGATGGACCGCCAGCGAGAAGTGAGAAGGACATCCCAGTCGCATCTGCCAGACCCTTTAAAAACTTGTTGGCGACAGCAGCCAGTTTGTCCAAATTTCTATATGATGTCAGTGAGTGCGTTAATCAATACAATGTGAACGACTCACTGTGATTGATTAGCCTCCGACTTACTCCACAGCCCTTCCTCTTTGTCCTGCACTTTTTGCTGCTTCTGTTCCTCAAGGTATTCCTTCACTCGTGCTTTGACTTTGGGCATCTCGTTGATGTATAGTGCAGCGGTTTCCTTCTTGACAGGTGCGACCCATTCTCCATTGGTTAGCTTCCGTTCCTCCTTGACTGCTGCGAGCTTTTCTTGTATGGTAGGCTTGATGCAATCACAGTAGTAGAGCTTAGAGTAAGCCTCTTGTTCCTGAAGCCTACGAGTCGGTTTTTCACACTCAGTAATCTTCTGAACCACAGCATCGATAATGTTGGTGGCGTGGGCTTTTGCCTTTCTGCCTGCCTTTGTCGCCCCAAAGTTATTTTTGAACCGATTGTGCAATTTCTGGAAGAACACATCAGCCAAGCTCCAAAAAGGTCTGGGACAAACTTACCACTTTTCGGGTGTCTTCTGCTAATTTCATTTCATTAAGCTCCTCCAACGTCATAGGCCCTAATGCTGTGACCCCAGTCAGCCTCGGCTCAGGAAAGGCCTCAAACCAGTTTTCATAAAGGTCCACAAAAAAGTTCCTATAATTTCCACACTTTTCACTTTGCTTTACAAGGAACTGCTTCATAGTATGGTTTTAGCCATTCCTCTTGTTCATCAGACGTCCATTTGGGAGGGGCCATCTAAATTTGTATTAGACTTTTTGATCAATAGCAAAACCTGACTTACTGATATGACACATATAATGAGCTGATAAGTAAAGCGAGATGAAAATTTACGAGATGGCTGTACATATATAATAATATCCCACGCATGGGCCAAGATACTGGCATGGTAATGTTTGGCAGATAAGCCATAGTCATTTTGCAGTTGCTCAGCAAGTTCCTCACCTTCGAGAAGCCTGTACACAATGTCAGTATGGGTAGCATGCTGTAACTTGATAAAACCAGCAATGGCTTGAGCCACCTTCTTTTTCATAGACAGTTTAGGTTGTACTATATTACAGTCTGGGGTGGTTGAAAGACTGCATCAGGCATAAGGGGTCACATAAACCTAAGTGTGTATGAATATCCTAGATCGCCCACCAGTTGTCTTGATAAACCAACTCGAAGCTATCATCCCCTGCGCCCACCAGTCACCTCAATAATACATAAACCCCTTAAGAGTTGAGAGAAGTAGCTACTACCAAAGTGTTTGAAATAAAAAGGCCTGCTTAGCGTACAACTTCTCCAATTTCATGCCATTCACCAAAATAAAGGATAAGACATCTTCCAATGCCAACAGCACATCCTTAGCATCCTTCGTGGCTTGACAAGCACTAGTGTGAGCCCCTTCAGTGAATTCACCCGTCTCAGACGGGCAGCCGAGGGTGACAATGTACCAATAGGGACGGGCCATCCCATGTGGGCCCATGGCAATAATTGTACCATGATACATGAGTGGGCCAGAGTCAATGTGTGTACTCGAGACAAATGGATGGGCCGGGGGTATATAATATAGACAGTAGTATAGGAATGTGCTAGTATATAGGATATTATAAATGGTAAATCAGGTTTACAATGGAGACGAGTGGGCCGGAGGAATGTGTGTACCCAAGGCAAACAGATGGGCCGGCTATACTAGCATGGGCTGAGTGAATGTGTATGCCGAGACAAACAGATGGGCCGAGGGTATATAGTATAGACAGTGATATAGGAATGTACTAGTATATAGGACATTATGAATGGTGAATCCGGGTTACAATGGAGACAAGTGGGCCGAGGGAATGAATATGCTCGAGGCAAATGAATGGGCCGGGAGTATATAGTATAGACAATGATATAGGAATGTATTAGTATATAGGATAGTATGAATGGTAAATCCGGTTTAAAATACGAATGAGCCGGAAGAAAGGGTGTACCCAGTGCAAACAAATGTTCCGGGGATACAAGCTCATCCGGTACATCTAGTATCAGGTAAATCCATGATCCGGTGAGTGCGGTGAAGGTACAACAGTTCAGATGGTGAGTCTGAACAATGTTGGGTCTTGCAGAACCTAGCTGCTATTCGACCCTAAAGGGTTTCTGGACCAGGCTCAAGGCTCAGAGAAGAGGAAATATGATAGAAACTTGCTGAATACTCAGACTCATAGTAGAACTGGTGAAAAGGTAACTTGATTATGTAAGCTACAAAGTGCCAACATAAGGTAAGGTAAAGACAGTCTCTCCAAGCCTAGCCAGAAATGAATCCCTACATCTCATGGGAACTTTGAATCATGACTGTCCCCAGTCATCTACCTATGCAAACCAAAGCTAAGCTAAACTAAGAAAACTAACCTGGGGGTCCTCAAACACCTTTTGTTTCCTTGACGCGTATGCCAGGTAAACTGCGCCAGTGAGTGAGGGTCAGGCAATGCAATAAAACGATAATCTCCAGACTGTTACGTCGACTGTAGGTCGGCGTGTGCGAACTAGGATAGTTCTTCTCAGCGACGACTCGAGTGAGTCTACTGAAGCTGAGCGTGGTCTAGCCTTGACGGAACGTCAAGGATTCCTCCGGCAATCTCGGTAAGACGGCGCTCGTCGAGATGCAGGGCTAGCGGATACGTGCTAAGTCGTATGGGGGCGACTTAGAAGTGCGGTCTCACACAAGGAAGCTGGTTAAGCTTAGATGAGCAAGTTCTGGGGATGAACCTAGTAGATTAAAGTAAAGTCTAAGTACAATAATCTGTGTCTACTTATAGGGAAGTACTACAAGTATTCTAGCTCAGTCTGTAATCAATAGTATATCGTAAATCTATGATAGTAAGACATGAGGTTCAGATAAGATACATGAGGCTTAACCTCTGATCAAGCATGCTGCGCCAAGGGCAGCTGCGCATAGGTACAGGAAGCGCCAAGCGCGCTCCGGATCTTCATGAAGTGACATGCGGTATGCATGCGCTGATCTAGGGTGACCATGAGGCGTACAGCCTCCATGGATCAGGTACAAGGCCGTCTAGGCCAGGGGCGGGGTCATAGCGCCAGGGGCGGGATCACAGCAGTCCAGACCACTGTCTTTCTAGGCGCAGGCGGCGCACCGCCGCGCGGGGAGTCTAGCAGAGCGGGGGCAGGCGTAGGGAGAGCTGGGGCTCTAGTAGGTGTTACAGATCCCTGTAACACAGACTTTGCTTTGAGTACTGGAGGAGCAGCGACGATAAAGTGATAAAAACTGCGATGATGGTTGCATGGGTGACGATGGGGAGTAGACGGATAGAAAGAGGCGAACGAGGGCTTCGAAATGAGTATAGGGTCGACTAGGATTGGTGGAGAACTGGGTGAGAAATGAAGGAAATGGTGGAAAATGGAGGGAAACAGGAGAAGTGCGGATTGCGGAGGAACGCGCAGACGTATTGGGAAGCGGGGCGGACGGATGGAAAGCGGCGGCGAATGCGGTCAGAACGAGTATATGGTTAATAGGTGCGCGATCGAGGGGCGAGGAGATATAGATAAAATGGTGTAAATGTGCGATAAAATAGAGGGGCGGCGGAAAACGCGAATGGTGGGCGAACGACGGAGCGGATCGGGGCGGCGATGGGCGCGAATGAAAGCCATGAATGAGGGCTTCAAAACGGGTATAGGGTCGATGGGGTTCCGAGGCAAAATGGGCTGGTGAAAGTGCGAAAAAGTGCGGAGGTGCAAGAGGGAGGAGGAGGAAGGGGTATGGTGCAGGGCAACAAGAGCTGGTCCTATCAAGAAGCAGATTGGGGCAATGGACAGAGCCACTGAAGGATGGTAAATGGCCAAAAGAGCTAAAAGACACAGGCCTTTGAGCACCCAGACAACCCTTATCTCCCCTCAACTTCTCAAAAACACCAAAAACTCGATAACTCCACAACTACTGCTCCAAATTCGATGAGCGAGGGCTCAAAATGACCGGACGGACGTGGGGAATACGACCCTAAGTTTGCGAGAGATCCGCTTGAAAAACGCGTGAGAAAAACGCTTATCAATGCGCTGGGGAGGAGGACAAGATGCTGAAAACTTGGGAATATGGGAGAAGCTGATAAGGAATGACTGTGGTAGGATAATAGGCGAATTTGGGGGATGATTGGAGAGCTGGAAGAGCCTAGAAACACAAGAAACCCTCGCGGTGGGCTCCAGTTGAAGGTTCAACAATTCAGATGGTGAGTCTGAACAATGTTGGGTCTTGCAGAACCTAGCTGCTATTCGACCCTAAAGGGTTTCTGGACCAGGCTCAAGGCTCAGAGGAGAGGAAATGTCATAAAAACTGCTCAAGACTCAGACTCATACTGGTAACCGGTGAAAAGATAACTTGATTATGTAAGCTACAAAGTGCCAACATAAGGTAAGGTAAAGACAGTCTCTCCAAGCCTAGCCAGAAATGAATCCCTACAGCGGTATCCGGTACAACTATAATCTTATAAGCCTATTGTCCGGTAAATCCACCATGCGTGAATATCAATTAGAGTGGACCAAAATACATTTTCCCGGCTCATGTATGTCTATCCTACTGATTTACTGGACCTCGGGACATGGATAAATGCTGGATATAGTGACCGGTACATCCAAATATGTATGGCTTTACATGTATAATGACTTGTCTAAACATCATTCTTCGCAACCGGGTCACTGCATTTCACATTGCCATATTTTGCATAGTCTGTCCTTGGAGTTCCGACAAAGTTATGGATGCTATCTCGCATGTACCATGCAGTGACAATCCGGCTGCCCTCTTCCACATGCATGTGATGTCTCACAAGCCGACATGATGAAGCTAACATTGACCTGGAGTCATATAAAAACTTGATTCCAAGATTCATGAAATCCATCATGACCGGGTGATAAATACCTGCAGTTGTCATGATATCAAATGCCTCTGGTTGACATTTCGGATCTCTATGAGGTGGTGACCGGCGGTTGCAAATGACTGACACCACATTGAAGACCGATGTCCAACGTTTCAGATGATGGCACATGTCATGTAACTGATACCGGATTGCCCATTCGCCCAGCCTGACTTGAGTTTTGATTCCAGCCTGATAAAGATCTGGGTGCATGACCTGAAGTGCAGCAGAGACAAGGATACCGGATCTTTGAAGGGAGGTTGTGATTTTGCTACCAACATCACCTTTCAACGACGCTGATACTTCAGGTGAGAAGCCATCTCCCGGATCAAGATTTGGGAAGCCATGTTTCTGCAATACTTCAGACCGGCAACCTCAATTCATATGAACCGGACATACCTCTCGTCCTTGCTGAAACCATGCTGGTGATATATTGATGCAACCAGGGGTGATCTTCCCATTCAGACTTGGATAGAAATTGGACACATGCATCCTCCATGCAGTAGGCTTGCCGGTTGTGATACTATTGTTCAACAAATTGCCCATGGAATTTGTGGCACAATACATATCTGTCTGTAAATTTGTCATATACATCCGGATGAGATGAAGTAAGAAACGGATGTTGATAGAAGATATACCATTATCATACCGGTCATTGCTTCAGGCAAATACCAGACAATAATTCTGCCTCCGGAATCAATGATGACACTCGGTGTTGTCAAGACAAGCTCTTCTTTGGGAGGGAATTTGTCTAACAGAATCTGTTCTCGTTTTTCGCTTCGACCGGATTCATGTTTGTCAAGGCATTCATTGTATCTAACCATGTCAATTTTGAGGTGAACTGCCGGCAAGTTACTCAACCGGAACAGATATTTATGCTAGAATGCATACCAGGATTGCAGTAGGCAATGGCCAAGACATTGGCAAGCTGCTCCAAAGCAATACAGGTGTCGATATCCAAGAATCCAACGCTCTTTGGCTTTACCGGTTGCTGATGAATTTTGGACATGAAGGTGTCATAAACCAATTCACCGGCAAGGTAGGTCTGGTATAATGCCCAGTCCGGTGGGATTGTTGTCATGTGTCAAAGCACTGAATGAGCTGTTAATGTATGAGGAGAGAAAAGAAAGCTGGTCCGATCCAACTGTAACCGGATAATGACAAGCAGGAATCCGTGTCACATGCACACAACCAGATTTCATTTTTGGAAATCTCCACCCATTTACATTGCAGTTCAATATAACACGTGGTATAACATATCTACTGAAGGCTTCCAGACATCAAATTGTGCTTGACCATACGGATGCACTGTCATCTGTATTCAACCGGTTCATGAGTGCCTGTGAGGATGCCACAGCCCTAGTGAGTTCATCAACCGGGCCAACTAATCCGGCCAACCTATCACTTGAATGTAAAAAATTCGCCATCCTCCCCTGCAATATTTCCAACAGCTCTCTACCGATTGGCGTCTGATGGCACCTCTCAAGAGATGCTGATCCAATGGTCTCCAGTTTAGTAACCGGGCCAAGCGTGAGCATATATGGAAGGTGGCCAGTTTCCACATGATCAGGCTATTACCATGTTACATGTCAGATTTGGTAGGGATCCGGTGTAAAAGCTGAAGAGCACATGGACATACAAGTTCTGAAAAATGACCCTCCACCAACTCCATCACATCTTGGACAGATGACTTTGGCAACATGTCTGACACCCTGCAAGAGCCCAGGTTTTCCTTCCACCAGGCATTGAAATAGTCTGGCATGTGAGCAATGTCATATTCATCAGATGCGGCGGAATCCACAGAGACAGGCAATTCTTTTATGTCCCTGAGAAACTCATTCACATCCGGTTGCCGGTCCACCAATGCATGTACAACCATGATTGAGATTATATCTTGAAGATGTTTTGGAATGACAACGGAGCACCTGCTAATGAAGGATATGTTGATGAAAGGCGTTACAAAGGTCTATATGACAGGCGACAACATTTGAGTGCAAGGAAATATGAGGACCGGACTACCGGATGCTTACCTCCATTTCCCATTTCATGAGTTGGTAGAATCTTGCTGCATATCTGGGCATGGCAGTAGCAAAGCTCTTGTCAACATAAAGGCACATAGCCAACAAACATGAATTGGCATAGAATAATGCCCGAGAAATCTCTCCAGTGGTGATCTGACCATCCGAGTAAGCCACAATGACTTGGTCAGAGGAAACCAGAGTTCCTGGTGTTGTTCATGGAGAACGACTATGGATGATGTTGTGGGAGAATGAGAGAGAGGGATCGTTTGCACCCGTCCCAAATAATTCCATATTAGCTACCCTGGGAACTATCCAACCGGTACTCTGAACCAACCGGAACTAACTGATAACCGGTACATACGGCTGAATGACCAGCATCAGAGAGTGGGATCGTTTGAACCCGGCCCAAATAATTACATATTAGCTACCCTGGGAACTATACAACCGGTACTCTGAACTGACCGGAACTAACCAATAACCGGTACATCCAGCTCAATGACTGGTATCATTTTTCGAAAGGAATCTGCTGCATGTGCAGACAGTTCTTAATATATGTGACATTGCCGGGCAGCATAACATGCATGTCCAGTCAGCCCGGTGGAAGTGGCATTGTCCATGCGACCTTGCCATTGCTTGGCCTTGTGGTTGAAGAAATTGACCGACCACTGCATCTCTTGTTTGACAAGAATAACCTCTTCATTCCAATGATCGCACAGTGCCTTTGTCCGGAGCCAATTTACCCGATAAACTATTGTTGGAGCATGTGAGACCGGATGAGCCAATATCACCAGGATGTCGTGGATACTCACATTCTGTCATCCAGTCATTTCCGGATGTATCACCCTGAATGTCAATGGACCAGAACCATGCGAGAGTAGCGTCCCTCTGACCACATGCATTTGGATCTGCCACTGCAGTGCTTGCTTTAAGGTGTTCTTTCTGTAGGGGAAGATATTTCTTCCGGAGGTCATGATCAGGGAGTTTAGCTAGCTGCAACAGGCATTTTGAATATATCCTGGCATTGAGATTGACTGCTGCCTCCACCGAGCGAACTTGAGTCCATGCCCTGGTGGAGGAGGCTTGTGACTTAGCTGACCGGACAGTATTCCGGAATATAACAGCTTTATCTACCAAATGAACTCTAATTGCATGGAGGGCGTCATTGGCCTGGCCTTCACGGAGGGCGGCTTCTTCTGTCATGAGATGGGTGAGATCCAATGCATTGCATCTGTCCATTCCAAGATTGGAAGGCAAAGGTATAATAGTGAGTTCCGGTTGAAAGAGGGAGGTATGATGTGGTGCCTGATCTGGATGGTGGTCACAATCATCGAGATCGGAATAATCGTCCAGCGAATTATGAATGGGGTCTACCGGAGGATCCGGTTCATCAACATCAACTCCAAATCCAAGATAAGTTGGTGCCATCTCGAGAAAGCTTGTAATGCGAGTTTGTAGCTTATCCCTGAGTCGGGCCACTCTCAGCAATTGAATATCTGTAGGATGCCTTCCGAGCCTTTTCACATCTCTAGAGAGAGAGATTTGGGATTCTTCTATGGTGAGACCAGTTGCTAGCCAAGTGGCTGCTCCTCATCGACTGAGGAAATTGTTGACTAAATTATAATGACAATTTTGTGCCTCCAGCAGGCGCAACTCCTGCTGCTTTCTAGTTGGAGCTATAAATACATGGCATCCGGATCATAATCAGAATGCGATCCGGCCCGGATGAATGTTGGTGGAATTTGACTTGCCCTTTTCCAACCGGACCTCATAAATGTCCATGGCTGTTGGATCCTCCAGTCGGTTGGCCTGAGCAAGTGCCTCCTCTGCTTCCCAAAGAATGACCGTGTTGGGGTGAGCTGTCTCATTAAGATTTTGGAGTGAGAGTTTGCTCTCTGCAGCACCCCTGGCAGCCTCCTTGAACTTTCTGCACAGAAACTTAGCTGCAGAGCAAGTGAGCCGGGAATGAATTAGATGAGACCGGACCATATTTGTGCATCCAGAGGTTGCCAACTCACTTATGCGAATCATTTTCATGAAGTTGGAATCATTCATCTGATAATCTAATACCTCCTTGCGATGCAGAGTTCCCATGCCCCTGGCCGATGGAGAAATTATGTTCAAAGTTGCCCAGAGTGTTTCCATGATCTCTCCATCTATCCTGCCGGTCCCGTGGATAAAATTTGATGCATACCAGACATAGCAGCTGTCCTGATGCCCATGTACATGCCACAAACCTATTCTAGGAATGATATCCATGCCCACAGGGATCAAAAGATACATGCTGGATGCGATCCGGTCCTTGAGAAACTTATTATACTGACAATTTATGTCATAGAACATTATCACACACGAGATTCCATTGGTATTGTAGTTGAGTGCTTGACTCAAGGCATAGTCCATGTTCATCTGCCTGATTAGTGTGGGTGAGATCAGTAAGACCAGAAATGCACGTAACCGGATGCAATGTGTATTCACCTTTCACCCTTCTGAAAATCCACCATGGAATGTGGGACAAAACATCCATGGCGTGCACATGCACATCCTCCTATCCCGGTGGCTTCCAGCTTTTGCCAGGAGGCATTTGCTTGATTGACTGCATGGTGATTGTTGCAATCTGACTTTTGGACGCGGTCTTGGGCAATAGACAAATGATTCTTGTATCTTTCATCTCTGACCATGAATGCAAGACCATCCATCAATGATACTTCATCGGATGGATTCACCGGATGGAGGTGCTCGGCTTTAAAATTACCATCCATGACGAAAGTCCTGGTGAAGAGCCAGGAGGGGGTGTTGTCGGGGTCAGTGGCTGTATCAGTTGACAGGTCCAAATTTATCCCCGGTTGAGGACACGCAGGACAAAATAGGGCGAGATCACCGGCCTTTGGCTCATCATCTTCGTGGGCAAACCCATGCCACTTGTAAAGCTTGCATTGGTGCCACTGTCTGGCAGTTCTCATGAGCTCTCTGTAGCGATCCTGCAATTATTGTTGTTCAATGACCGGATGGTGAAGTAAAAAAAATGAAAACCGACTTACAGGAACCATCAATGGAAAGATGCTCGAGGTTAGCCTCCGGATCTTACTGTAGTAATTCATGGCTGATGTACCACATTCTAGGTTGTCTAGCAGAAAGTCGTCCAAGACAGAGAACATAAATGCAGTTTTTGGTCTGGTGAAGGATGCTGGAAACAAGCCTGCTTGAAAGAGCTGCATATCCCGGTCGAGAGCACCGGGGCAGTGGCAATACCATATGGATTGGGAGTGAACACCGTATTTGTCTACTATGGTTGTAGCCAGATGATCTGAGTCTGTGACAAGTGGAATGGAAGCTCCCTCCGGATAATCATCATAGTCGATATTTTCATCAGGTATTGGACCAATCAAAGAGGTCGGATGTGTATTCAGTGCTGCTGGGACAAGGAGTGCCGTCATGAGCAAGGTGAATGTGCAGGCCGACTTTAATGAGTGAAGTTTCTTGAAAAAATGATCCGGTCCATTGACTGATACGATGGAATGGATGCCTTTGATGTTGGGTTCTGCAGCAGTCTGTGCAAAACAGGGGCTCGTTGAAACAGCCATGGCATTTATAAACCCCATCCTTCTTGCAAACTGCACAAAGCCGGTCCAGAGGAGGGGCCTCTCTGACCATCAGTAAATTTATGTAGTCCTTGAACTTGCACTTCCATTGCTGGAGATATTCATTCTGACTCTGCATGATCCGGTCAGATGCAGACTGCCGAATCAGAAGGACTTCTGCTTGCCAGAGATTTTGGTAATTTAAGCTGAGGGATGTCGCCTTGGTCAAAGTCAAAGTCAGCACCCTCATGGAGCATCTGAGAGGACCCGGCTATGTGTTTTGAGGGAGATTTTGTTGGTGATGATGTCACCGACTTTGTTTTTGGGGACCATGAATCTTTAACCCATGATGACCTGGATCCTCTGGAAGTAGTTTTCTCCTTGAGTTTATATAGCTGAGGCAATCGTTTCCTCATCGGAGGAGTGTATGCAATTCCCCTTTGTTTAGTATTTGCCATGATTGATACCACCACCTAAAAGGATTGTTGGGCTGGGGAGTGTACTCAAGCTTGATGATCGGCAGTGCATATGACTTCACATTGTGCTTTCCTTCAACTCCGGATTGAGTGATTTTAATCACCGGATTACCACATTTTCTGTTCCTGTTTGTCATTGAGGTAACTCAGGGCATCAGAAATCTCAGAACTTCATCTCCATTTAGGATATATTAAGGTCAGAGCCACTGAGATTGCCATAAGTTTCATCATTTAGAAGTTGGTTAATCAAACACATCGTAATCCTGCCATCATCACAATTCCCATGGATGTCATCCGGTATCAATGTGTCTCCCTGTGCTGTATGACATATTTGAGAGTATGACTGTATGCTGCCTGTATACTATATGATGAACTTGGTGTATGTTTGTATGTTTCACAGTTCTAAATTCTATGAACCGGAAACACAGGGCATGTTGAGCCTGAGAGTATCATGCCGGCAGACAATCTCTTGTTCGGTTTACTGTTGGATACATGGTGGCAATTGGCTATGTGACCTTATACTGTATCCTTTCTTCTACCAAGACCTCAACTGCTTTGCAATGGACCGATCCAACTCATCAGTACACAGCCCTGAAAAGACCAAGCAGAAATTGACTGAGGAAGAGCTGGTGGTCTTACAATCTCACCTAGAAGAATGGAAGGAAGCCACCGGTAAGGATAGAAAAACGATTCTGAGGGTGGTCATAAAAGAGGCCAAGATGCAAGCCCCTAAGATGGATGCCAGGCTTTTGAAGACAAGGAAATCTGTGAGCAGCCGATCCTCTAATTGTATAAATGCTCATGATGTATTCAGATGTACTGGGACTGGTTATATAACCGGAGAGCTGAAAAGACTCTCAAAAAACAAAGCAAGTTCAGTAAGAAATGGACTGCCCGGTTGGTGATAGAACACCAGTACAAGAAGGAGATCCTTGAAAAGACTGGAGCAAGGCCAGGAGGGAAGGAAATGATTAAATACTACCAGGGTGCGGTCAATGCAATTATGGGCGGTTTATCTGAAGAGCAGCTAGAGGAATCAAATAAGACTGCGATAGAATGGTCTAGCAGGGCTCCTCCTACAGATGTCCAGGCTGAGTTTGCTCAGAAGAAAGCTCCTGGTATGATGAAGGATCTTGCGACTCAGTTATGGAGGCAGGCTGGTATGAGGATATTCATATTGTCGGCATGGAAAACCGAGGAAGGTGAAGTGAGGATCAATGGGTGAGTGACATTTTCATTCTCTCAGCTGGTAAAGATGGCCTGATCTCGTCATAAGAATTGACTTCAATGACAAGTTAGAGGGCAGTAGTTTCACAGATACAAAGGACTGGAAGCCCATGTTACCGGAGTGGAATGCCTATGTTGGAGAAGAGTTCGGTGAGCTTGTTTGTGCAATGTGGATTGATCCGGTCAAGTACTAACATCATGTCGTAATACCAGCAGTTGACCGGAATGATGATGAGGATGGCAATGAGGACAGGGAGGAAAAGGAGAACAGAAACCAAAGGAGAAAGAAGGAGGAATTCACTTTGGAGGTGGATACCTATGGGCTGCTGGTCATACTGGATATGAAGTCACTTAACCTGGAGGACAAAAAGTCTCTGATCCGGACATTCCTCACAAAACACTAGAGTAAATTTGACAAATCAAATATCCTGAGAGTTGATAAAGCAACTATGTGTTTTGCAGGGTTTTGCAGTCAAAAGCCTAAGGCATCTGTCCCTTGGTCTGCAGTGAGGGAGGCTCAGGACGATTTTATTGAGGCCAAGTTTTTACCATCCAGCGGGAAGATCCAGGATCTGTCAAAGCTTCAGTGGCATGAGGCTGACCAGCTCTTAGAGTTCTGGCATCAGTGACAAAAGGACAAGGTTCGGCCAACATTTGAATTCAAAGCCTGGCAAGACCAGGAGAAGGAGATGAGAGAACCGGTGGAGAAGATCACAGGGTGCGACTCTAGCACTATATGCAGTCAAGCAACAGCAAAGACCAAGGTTCCGGTTAAAAAACGACCTGCGAAGTCGACCGGAAAGTCATCCAGGAAGCCGACCAGAAGGGTGGAACTGGACTCAAGTAGTGAGAGCGAGGATGGTAATGGTGAAGGTGATGAAGAGGTTCAATTACCGCCTTCAAAGCTCACATTGGCCGGAAAGCAGGGCAGAGATGTCCAATTTGCTCCAGTTAAAAAACCTGCAGGCATGACCGGAAAGTCATCCAGATGGCAGACCGGAAGGGTGGAACAGGAGTCAAGTGGTGAGAGCGAGGATCTTGATGAAGCTCAAGGCGATGAAGAAATTCAATTATCAACTTCAAAGCTCACATCGGTCGGAAAGCGGGGCAGAGCTGTCCGATCTGTTCCGGTTGAACAACCGCCTAGCAAGTTGACCGGAAGGTCATCCGGGAAGCTGACCGGAAGGGTGGAACAGGAGTTGAGTAGTGAGGGTGAGTTTGGTGATGAAGGCGAATGTCATGAAGGAGTCCAATCCCAGCCTTCAAAGCTGAAATCAATCAGAAAGCGGGGCAGGGCTGTCCAATCTGATTCAGAGCAAGATTCCTGCCTACTGGTCAAGAAAGCCAAACCAAATGTCATTAGGCGCAACAAACCATTGGAGGACAATGCTGGCACTCCTTCAGCAGAATCATCCAGTAACCTTGATAGGGCACCACTGCCTTCAAACGATGCCCGTGGAAGTCGCTTAGTAGGTCCTGCATCAGCCATCCAGATGAAGGAGACAAGGAATAAGATACCTGCACCCGAACAAACAGCTCCTTCCACCACACAGGCCACTGGTAAGAAAGCCAAAAGAGATGGAGCTCAAGTCCACAATCCGGAGCCAAAGCAGTCGACTAAAACTGCAAAGATGTCTTATAAAGTTAATTACATGCAAAGGGAGTAATCCTTGAGATTCATTGAATGTACTATACAAGGGGTAGAGTATTGACCGTATATATATCAAGTCGACAGTCGGTATATTGATATCAATTGAAATGACAACAACAACTCATTGGTGGACTGAAGAACTTCCTGGCTGACAGACACTTCTTCCGGTGACATTGTACCATGATTCCTTTCCATCTCCAACCAGTGGATCGCCAAGCGCAAATCTTGTACAGCGCGCTGGATAACAAATCCGATGGGTTCTGGTCCACCAACTATGCTAGAATTTAAGTAATTTACAATGTGATGTTGCATGGGATGACTCACCCGAGTGATCAGGCAGAACATGTACGGGATCCAGCGTCTCAAATCCCATGTCCAAATGCATGTCATCAAGTCGATTATCCACTGAATTCACATTTAACAGTGCTACCAATGAATGAAGAGACTTACATGACTGATCCGGAAAATCATGAACCAGATGGATACCAAAGCCCATATCCAAAGGCCTGTCTTCCGGTTCAAGATCAACTAAATCAATATTTAACAGTGGAAACCATCACAATGATCAGACTCACCTGACTGATCTGGTAGATGATCAACCGGATTGATGCCAAAGCCCATATCCAAAGACATCTGGTCCGGATGCTCATGTTGAGCCGGAGGTGCATGATCAACCGGATGCATGCCAAAGCCCATATCCAAAGGCATCTGGTCCGGATGCTCATGTTGAACCGGAAGTGCATCGAAACACATGTCCAGAGGACTGTCTTGCAGTGGAATCTCTTTGGCTGAATTGGAAAAATGAGTTATGCAATATATTAGATACATACTGGAGACATACCCGAGGTACTGGCCGGACGATTGACTGCCAGACAGTTTAAAGGGCTCTTCATTGGATCAGGTGAATGGTGGAAATTTAATTCATATAGGTGGGGGAATCCCATGTCTAACACTTCTGACGCCGGTTGACTTGGCGTCCGGTTGAAAGTCATGTTAATTTGTGTTCCTCACGCCTCGGCTCCAATGTGTGAATCAAATACAGCCGGATAATGTTAGTTTTAATGACGCCGATGGGACAATAATGACATACCAACAATTGTATTCACACGATCACAAATGCCAAATATTTGGAATCGAGAACCAGTTATTGAACGGCGTATTCGGCAATCTCCGGAATCACCTGGACATCCGGTAATTTTCCAATTGCCCAAGCATCCATTGTTCCCTTCCGGATCTCTTGTCCAAGCTAACCTGCAACCGCCAACGTCCACTGCTACAATGTCTTCCAATGCTACTACTCCTGCTGCTGCTGCTGCCACTGCCAACCAGGCGCTGATTGCTCTTCTTGACAGGCTGAATGAGCTTCTTGAACAGGTCCTGCGGTCCCAGTCAGAAGAAGAGAAAATGAGATTGAGCCGAACCATTGTGTCTCAATTGGTATGTTTCACATTCATTTATGTATTGTATGTATTCATTCCCTTCAAGAACCATGCTATCTGTTCTTACCGGACAGTCGCCACCTACATCCCCCTTTGCCTGCTGTCAATGGCAGCTGAGATCCATCGTGCTCAGATGGGTACCGTGCGCTTGGTGCAAGTACCGGATTGGAATCGTGTTGGGAGCAATGAGGACATTTGCCGGGGCATCCCTTGTACCCCATGACATTGGGTCCGGCACCTAATATTACCACCCCTACTGCTGGCGCCACATCTGTATCTGTACCTCAACCGGCACCGGTACCGGCACCTGCACCACCTCTATTGCTGCCTTCAATCGCTACTTTACTGGCTCCCAATACGACAATCGGCATCCCTGGAGGTACCAACTCCGGTGCAGTTCCGGGGCCATCAAAACCTCGCAAAAGGCAATTTAGTGCGAGCCCTCCCTGTCTGGTCAAGAAGGCCCGGAAGGCTGCCCCGAAGTCGAGGCGGATCTTAACTGACACCGATACTGACACAGATGGAATTCGCATTGGGAATTGTAAGGTGAAGGGCAGAGGAAATGAAAAGGGCAAGGGCAAGGACAAGGGAAAGGAAAGGTGAAGGCAAGGGCACCATCACCGGATAGTGATGAGCAAATGACAATGGAAGTCGATGATGATCCAGAAGTTGATGTAAGTTGTTGTGTTCATTTATTTCATGTGACTCATAGCGGTACTCAGGCCCAGAATTCAACACGCAACATGATGAAAAAGGTATGCTCATTTTTTCAATCTCAAAGGAGCCAATATTAATTTTCACAGAAATTACCGGCCGTGGTCATTACTACACGGCCGATACCACCTGCCAAAGAGAAGAATGTGACTGATTCAGAATACCAACCGGAGGACGATGACGAAGATCAACTCGAACCCCGTGATGACTCTCAATACAAGCTGAAAGGTGAATATCATTTATCTCTACTGGTTGGTGACTTATCCGGATGCAGCCAAATGTCAAGCCGACCAAAGGAGAAGAACCAGGTATGTTTATTTATTGTCACACCGGTGATTTGTGAGGCTTATATCACCCTTTATCATAGTCCAAGTCCGGGTATGCTACAAGAACCGACCAGCCCAAGGTGAAGGGCAAGGCCAAGCATCCACATCTGGTAAGACATCCAGGTACTGCTCATCCGGTAGCACCATACTGATTCTCAATAGCAACCCATTGGTGCGCCTCTACTGCCATGTGAGAGATGCACGACGATGCAGTTGGAATGTGAGAGCTGGGTGACCAAAAGGGGTGAGGTTGCACATACTTGCACCCTCTGCAATAAATGGAGGATGAAATGCATCCGGCCAACTGAACCAGGACACGCCTACGACCGGTACTGGTCCGACCACCACACCTACCCCGCCGGTCACACCCATCGCCACTCGATCAAAGACCACCGCAAAGAGCAAGACTGGCAGGCAGTCTAAACGAAAAGGCAAGTTTCTTCTTTCAATTCGTGCTTCTACTAATTGATCCCTCCAGACATTAACACTGAGCATCCTAGTCCCATCCCAGAGGAACCAGATGTCAATGTTGAGATGGACACTGTGGTCACAACCCCCGGTCGTCCCAGCACCACCCCAGATGCAGCACCAGTAGTATCTGAGCACGATTTCCCTGTTGATCAGTGGATCAAACCTATGGATGACCGCCTTCTTGCCTCCAGTGCAATTCATGGACACGCCGGACAATATCCAGGTACTCGCCCATCTATCCGGCTCGCACTGAACGACCCCCCTCTCCTGCTACAACTCTCATACCCCTTCAGTCCCACCAGCGTCGTTCCTTTAACTACTTTGGAGATGGACGCCATGTTGGCTCAACTTCAGATCGATATGGATCAGCTCTGCACACGCGATGACATGATTCATGACGACCTGTCCAATCGCATCGACCGGCTGCACGCTAATTATACACAGCAATTGAACACCCAGAAGGGACTGGTGGATCACTTGGCTGTTCAGATGGGCAGCATTGCCCAGTACTTGAGGGACAACCAAAGGAACACTGCAGCAACCACCTCCACTCCACCAGCATTCAATCCACCACCCATTGTCATTCCTGGTACTCCCATATTCCCTGAGTTTGGCTCTATCAGTGCCTTGGGTCGAGCCGTCACGAACAATGTCTTTACTCCGGATGTATTTTCAACTAATGCACGCCCCAGTGGTGATGGCTCACCAGTCACAAGGCACGAGCAGGCACACGCATCCGCCTCTACCTCTACCTCCACCTCCACCATTAACCCTATCCCTACCATGGTGGTATCCGCTCCACTGATTCATCCGGTTGGTCTACTTCCGGTACCACCTCTCCCAGTTGGTGCACATCCGGTACCACCTCCCCTGGTTGGTGCACATCCGGTACCACCTCTCCCGGTTGGTGCACCTCCGGTACCACCTCTTACTGTCCCGATGGAATCTATGCCTTCCACTAGCACCCTTCACACATTGGTCACCGGGCCATCAAATGCGCCAGAGGATGGTCAGTCCATCTCAGCTCCTTTGCCAAACCGGTCATTTGCACCTCAATCACGCCAAGGTCGGTCAGTGAGTGCTAGGCATGCTAAGAACACTTCCGGTAATGCGCCCAAGTAATAGTAGTATACATTTTTTTTATTTTTACTTGTGGTTTTTACCGGTGAACATTGTGTTGTTCTTTCAATGTGTGCAGTACAGTTTGTCACATAATTATACAGTTTACTTGCATGACCTGCGTGTGAATGCCTGTAAGGAAGGTGTTGCTTGGTTAGCGTGTTTCATAACATGGTAGATTGTACCAGATGGTGTACTATATTTACCGGTTAGTGTATCCAAGATATACCAGACGATAGGTTTGAGATGCATGATGGATGTACTGGATAACATAACTACCGGATAATATACGTACCGGATAATATGCCTATCCAGATCACATATCTACCTGATAACATACCTACTGGATCATTAAATTTAGATGCTAGATGAACCGGACCTACTTGTTTCCATTGTAAACCAGATTCACCATTCATGATGTCCTACATACTAGCACATTCCTATACCCATTGTTTATACTATATTCCCTCGGCCCATCTGTTCGTGTACTCACATTCACTCGGCCCACTCTTATATCATGGTACAATTATTGCCATGGTCCCATCCGTTTACCTTGGGTACACATTCATCCGGCCCACTCGTCTCTTATTGTAAACCTGATTCACCATTCATAATATCCTATTTACTAGCACATTCCTATACTACTGTCTATATTATATACCCCCGGCCCATCCAATTATCTCGGGTACACACATTCACTCGGCCCACTCATCTATCATGGTACAAATATTGCCATGGGCCCACATGGGATGGCCCGTCCCTATTGGTACATTGTCACCCTCGGCTGCCCATCTGAGACAGGTATATGTTACTGTATTATGTGCTAGTTTACCCTATACCGCTCTTTCCCTGCTGTGATAAGTCATCTTCAGCATCCTGTAGCTCGCTGAATATGTCTTGGACAACTCCAATAGCCGAACGAATCCTGTCGGACACACCAGTTGCCAGGTAATCGAGCAAGAGCTCATTGATAACCTCTCGAGGCTCGCCTCCGAGATATTTTCGCAAGGGACCTTGCAATTTTTTCCTGCGTGATTTCGGCGCATCTGATGAAGTCTTGTCCCTGTTGACCTGAGCTGAGTAAAGGCATTCCATTTGAGACACAACATGAATGCAACTTACATGACATTGGATGAAGTCTTGTGGGGATTTGTGTTGTCCCTGTCAACCCGAGCCAGATATTTATCTTTCATCTTAGCACTAATCATGGACTTATTACTGCCAGCGCATGCAATGAGTAACTATGTTAGCATAAGAGATCAATGTAAGAATCAAGCACATACTGTGCATAGTAAGCACATTTGTGCATTCGTTTGGCCTCTTGACGTTCTTCCGGAGTATTGTAGAGCTTGGGTCGGGGCATTGAAAACAGTGATGAAATTGTGGGGTAGAAATTGAGTAGAGTTCCGTGAGGAGTTGTAATTCATTGTGTGTGGGACTTTTATAGGACCAATTCAACGCGATTAACCAGTGCTGGTATAGATAAATCACAGTAAGCCTAGCTGCATATTCAGGCCTCAGGACCTCAGATCTAGTAATTTCAGCATAAGCATCACCCACTAAATATGCAAGGCTGTATATGTATCACCATGAGCTCACTTTTCAACCTTGTTGATGTCGCTTCAAATCAGCAGCGGTGCCGGGTTTCAATCGCATCAATACATAAACTGTGACCTCGTCAGATTCATCAATATTTGTTCAGCTCAATCTCAAAATTATTAGTCCATGAAGTTCATGCGTGAATGTGTGCAGGAGTGACTTGATTACGCGGTATACAAAGCAACAAGAAGGCGACTATTCACAACAGTTACAACTATATAACAGTGAAGCAACCAAATCAGACTTTGGCAGCTTCGCCTCGTTCAATGGCTCTCCTCAATTTCTCCTCACCCACTTCAAGTGAGTCAACCTTGGAGAAAATAGCGCGTGGTACACCCTGAACTTTTGGTGCGACATTGTCCCTGGGAAGGTTTTAATGAGGCTTGTGGGCGGCTTGGACAACTTACCAGCCATTGAAGACTCCAATATAACGACCGCGCGTCACACAGTAGTAAGGGGCACTAGGATTGGCCGCCGCAGGCATGTTATACAAGATGCCGTGGTAGAAGTAGAGGAAGCACTTGTCAGCCATGGCATCTGCTACTTTGGCGAAGAACTTGTGTGATTGCTCGATTATGGTAATTTTTGGCAACTTATCACTGTAAGAGCCTAGGGTCACATAGACAGACAACGTATTTGGGTCGGCCACATAGTCTTCAGAAGGGATACCGGACAAATTGAGGCCACCGTTGGACGAGGCAGTTGTCTTCAAGGATGGTTCACCAGGACCCTTTGTATTGGAAGACGCATCTGAGAATCAATCAGCATGCGAATCAATCGGTAAAGAAGCTAAGGAAATTTGTACGTACCATCAGCAGTTGGAGCCATAATAGAAGTCGTCTTCAAGGATGGTTCACTGGGACCCTTCATATTAGAAGATGCATCTGAGAATCAATCAGCATGCGAAACAATTGGTAAAGAAGCTAAGGAAATTCGTACGTACCAGCAAAAGTTGGAGTCATAATGACATTGACAAGGGCCTTTGCCTGACCAGGCGTCAACCGTAGACTAGCAAGTAATTTGGAGATGGCATCTTTTGGTACCAATGTGAGTATAGTACGAAGCCATGCAAGCACCAATAGGCGTACCTATGACACTGTCTGACATATCATCAGAAACTACAAAGGGCGGGGTGGAGGGAGAGGTGGCAGCTTGAGGGACAGTTGATTGAGTCATTGCAACAGTAGAGTTGGGTTAATTAGTTGGTTGGCAATGTCTTGTTAAGTAGTCGGTCGATGGTTCAGTACATGGAGGTAGCGTGGTCGAAGATGTAGCCAGAGTTGAAGAAATGGAAAAGCAGTTCAAGAATCAAAGGCAGATGGGTCGAGGGAATATGAAAGAGAATGTCGTTTGGCTGTGATGAGCCATGGAACTCGACCCGTTAGGCAAGAACAAGGTGTACATAGGACAGCGCTGGTGAATCTGGAACTGTAAGAACATCTTTGATTTGGTAATGACTTTGTACATATGATGATACTCATCATACATTACAGTTCTTTCTGGTGCTAGAAGCCCTTACTCATCACGCATTGCGGTTCTTTCTGGTGTGGTGTCCTTTTTTGCTGCTTATTGATGTTTCCTCCCCTTGAAATAGCATAGAATCAGACATACATGGGTAAGTGCCAGTATTTGTATGACTCAATGTGCATGAGCGCTACGTTAATTACATGTACAGACATTAACCATGTCCAGTGCGACAAGTTCGGAAATGTAGTGCCCAGGGCACCTAGGATATATCCTCGGAGTCGATGGATTCTCGCATATGGTGAGTCACCCATTGCATGTTGACCACTGGGCCTTGACACAGCCTCTTAGACATGTCTAATCTCAGAGGCCGCCCTTCCAAGTGTCCAAAGCTTATTCGACACAGAGGTCATAGTGCCTCCGCTGAGCTTCATATGCGCCATCTCAGCTTTGCCCTAAGATCCGATGGTGGATTCGGCCTCCGAACATCTTATCTTCCTGCTCCAGCACCTGCCGTAGAACCTGCAGAAGCACCATCTCACGTATCCGCTGAAATTGACCCATGGAACGAGATGGAGCACAGTGCTATATTTTCTCCAGAAGACCTTCAGCCAGGTGACGAACCAAGGCCACGAACACACTGACAGACACCAGGAGTTTGTCCTTTAGTTTAATCAGTAGCACTTATCTTAACCGTAAATTTGCAGGATGACCCAATCCTCCTTTGGCTAAATGAACGTGAAACTTACTTGAACGAGCTTCTATACCTGGAGGGTCGGGGAAAAATGACCATGAAGCATGTTCTTGTGGGAAACCTTCGCCCTCTTTCAGATGTCAAGAGTGCTTTTCAATGGAGCTATTTTGCCATGAGTGTGTTTTGTTGTTGCATGCCAGTGCACCACTCCATAGAATTGAGGTTCATAAGCTATCTATTGCTCTTTGCTAGTTCTCTTATCATCCACCGCTGTTTAGGAGTGGAAAGATAGTTTTTTTCACACCACATTGCTCAAACATCTCGGTTTCTGCATTCAGCTAGGTCACAAGCCAGGGGAATCTTGTCATCGCCCACACCCTGCCTATGACAATGATTTCGTTATCATCGACGTTCACGGTATACATGAAGTCAGCCTTGACTTCTGTAACTGCGAGCACGAAGCCCCGCATTTCAAGCAGCTCCTTCATGCCCGGCTTTTTCCTGCAATGGTTATGGATCCTCGAACGGCTGTGACTTTTAGCGTGCTGGATCTCTTCCACTTGTTATCTTTTGAGTCCAAGGTCTCTGCATATGAATTCTATCACAGCCTTGCACAGAGGATGGATAATACTGGCATACGGCCAATTCGAGTATGTTACATTTACATTGCTTTTATAAACAAGTACACTGATATATGTTTTTCAGGATCGATATTCTGTCTTTCTAACAATCATGCGCGAATGGAGGAACCTCAATGCACTCAAGCATGCTGGCCGTGGGCACAACCCTGCTGGTGTGGACGCTACTCAAGAGGGAGAACTCGCTGTTTTATGTCCTGCGTGTCCCCACCCAGGCATAAACTTGCCCCCAAATTGGGAAACTTCAGATCGGCAGTGAGTGTTTGATTTGATGTGCTATGAACATATCTAACAGCTTTTAGATGGCTCTACACAGGTTTCTTTGCAATTGACAGCCAATTTCTGTCTCAAGCGCCGGCTTGTCTCCTCCAATGCCAAAGATCCAGGGCTCACACGTGGTTGGGGTTATTTTGTTGAAGAACTGCCAGTACAAGACTTACTTGGCTGAGAACTCAGGCGCTGTTCAAGAGGTAAGATCTTGCACTCAATTTTTTATCATTATGATTGACAAACTCCTCATTCTGACAGAAAAGCACTTGCGTTAGTCACAACACTGTCAACATGGCTGATACCAAGGCTTTGAAGGGTCTGGCTGCAACTGGTGTCGGAACAATTGATTGTGCCCGACATGATATGAAATTGCCCAATGGTGTGGGTGATCTTCAAAAGGGTGAAAAGTGCATACCTTTCTCTATGATGTCAGTTCTAGTATTCATTGTGCTACAGATACCTGAATATGGACTATATTGTATTTTCAGCTCTCGCCAGGTTCCCTCATCTCACTAATGTCAATCTATCGTACAATATCGCCTGCCAGTGGCACAAGAAGCTTCAGGGCTGCATTCCTGGACTACCCATCAGGCTCCAACCTGGTGAACAGCGGGACCTGCTCTCAGAGATATCCAGCACATCTGCGAAAAAGATGTTCAACTTCTTCGTGCCTAAATTTCATCTTGCAGCTCACATCGAGGCTTGTCAGACTGCGTTTTCATTTAACTGGACTCTGGGCATCGGTTGAACTGATGGTGAAGCACCTGAACATGGATGGGCCAATATCAACCGTGTGGCTACAAGTACCAAGGAGATGGGCCCTGGCTCCTGCCATGAGATTTTGGATGACTTCTTTGGAGATTCAAACTGGAAAAAGATTACTGCACTAGGTTCGTATTTTTTTCTTCTTAGAACTGGGTTTATCACTGACGCCTGTAATCAGGCAGAATCATGTCGAATAAACTTAAGGAAGCGGTCAAGGCAACACAAGAACACAAGCTTGCATTCGAAGAGCTTGAGAATTCTATTACAGAGTCTGACTTGGGTGTCTCATCACTAGCAACATGGAAAGCTGAGATAGAGGCTTGGGAGACCGACCACACTAAGCCAAATCCTTTTGAACACCGAGTCGACAGTGAGTCACACCTTATGAATATTTCGATTAGTGTTAAACTCCTCGTAGCTATGACACTTGCAGCTGTACACCTCGAACTCGCGCAACGAGATGCCAGGGAGTTAGAAGAAGGGACCACAATTTCCCTTCATGCAGAGTTATCTTGTAGCATGCTTATTAGTACAGGTATCAATCTCGAACATGCGCAGTAAGGATCCTATAGTAATGTGTTGAATTCGTACTGATATATTTCCAGGTGTTGTTTGTTCACTGGGTCTGCATGCAACAGACACCCAACGCACAAAGATTCTCACCTGTAGCAGTGTACTGCAGTGCCGCATCGATGTTTGGACCGGCATTCAAACTTTATATATGCCCTCAGTTGCCAACTTACGTGCAACGGGCTTCACCAACTCAAGGAGTGACGATGATGATGACAGCAGTTGCCCGAGGCCAAACTTTGACTTGGGCAAGGCAGAAGACGTTCAACTCTTGTTACCTTCTGAGATTTGCAGTCTGGTGCCGTGCGATCAAAAGCTCCTCGAGGCTGAATGGTCTCTCCGCATGGCACAAGCCCATGATGCACTCAATGAGTGCTGTTCTCATATCCGCCTCCGTCATCAACTCATGCAATTCAAGCAACAATATATCCGCGGGCAAGGTGCGAATACTTGTGCAAAGAAGACACTGGATGCTGTGGAAGACTGTCTTATCATTAGTCACGCAAAGTATGTGTGTGCGCGCAAGGCGCTCATAGCTCTCTCAGATCATGTCGACCATATTGGCTGGGAATGTTACGCTGACCGTCGGTCAGCGTGTGCGAACTAGGATAGGTCTTCTCAGCGACGACTCAAGTGAGTCTACTGAAGCTGAGGGTGGTTCTCGGCTTGACGGAACGTCAAGGGTTCCTCCGGTGATCTCGGTAAGACGGCGCTCGTCGAGATACAGGGCTAGCGGATACGTGCTAAGTCATATGGGAGCGGCTTGGAAGTGCGGTCTTATCCAAGGAAGCTGGTAGGCTTAGATGAACAAGTTCTGGGATGAACCTAGTAGATTAAAGTAAAGTCTAAGTACAATAATCTGTCTACTTATATGTGCTACATATAGGTATTCTAGCTCAGTCTGTAATCTATAGTATATCTAGGATCTATGATAACAAGACATGAGGTTCAGATAGGGTACATGAGGCTTAACCTCTGATCAAGCATGCAGCGCCAAGTGCGACTGCACGTAGGTACAGGAAGTGCCAAGAGCGCTCCGGATCTTCATGAAGCGACATGCGGTATGCATGCGCTGATCTAGGGTGACCATGAGGCGTACAGCCTCCATGGATCAGGTACAAGACCATCTAGGCCAGGGGCAGGGTCATAGCGCCAGGGGTGGGGTCACAGCGCCAGGGGCGGCGTCACAGCGGTCCAGACCACTGTCTTTCTAGGCGTGGGCAGCGCACCGCTGCGCGGGGAGTCTAGCAGAGCGGGGGCAGGCGTAGGCAGAGCTGGGGCTCCTGTAGGTGTTACGGATGCCTGTAACAGGGAACGGAAGCTGCAGCCACTCAAGAAGTCCCATCTCTGGCCCATGGGGGATTTCACAGGACAGTCGCAAGGGACTGCAATCATGTCTTGGATCTGGTTGACGTACGGGATGTCGGATGATGATAGTGAAGGCTTGCAGGATTGTGAGTCCTTGTATTGATCTATCATACTCTACTGATTGGAATTGCTAGCGCTTCACATTGAATGGTGTAAAGCCAGGGCGCGTCGTGATAGGTGGGGCGAAGAAATTCAGCTTTTGCTGGAAGAGATGCAACGTATTCTGCTCTTTCTCGACTGGCAAGCACGTCAATGGGACGAGCGCACAGGTGCACGAGTACCACAAAGACCTGAAGACGTCAAGGGTGTGGTCGCATATGCTAAGAAACAGGTGTTTATCCGGCACAGCCTATCCGAATCGTTCAAGGAGAAATGGAGGCAGGTTCCGGTATCGATGGCTTTGGGCGATGACGGAGATGACGGAGAGGGTGAGTGTCCTTCTCTCGATACCCCCTCCTCAAGAAGATTTGGCACATGATACATAGTATATTTATATTCGCTATTTGTACCTTTGTACCTTGATATGGACACTTTGTTTGGTGCAATGACTTCGTTTGATGCAGTCCCTGAGCTTCCCTGAGATGGGGGAATGGTTCCTTAGATTGTTTACTAGATTAGGCCATCAAGAAGACTCACTTCAGTGGGCTTCGTGGTCTTAGACGGCGAGCGGCTGACAACGGCGGAGAGGTACCTAACACGGAGGGGCTTAGATAATATTGGGGGGGCTGGATTACTGATAGATAGTTACACAGAGGGGATATATCTTAGGTATGGATAGGTAGCCTATTGGATGTATGAGGGTTTTATGCTTATTAGCCAGTTTGATATATCCTTCCCCAAATATGAGGTGAGCCAATGCTCAGAACAATCGCACAATTTGCTTCACATCAAGCTTGGAACATGCACTGCAAAACCCTGATGATCTACTCGAGGATGCTTCAGCTGAACTACTCGAGGGCACCTGTCATCTTAATTCAATCCCTATCTTGCTGGAAAATGATGGATGGATTGTAGGAGCCTACCGTCAGCTGTTTTTCTGGGTACCACCCGCTTCCCGAGAACAGCCATTTTATTATTTTGGGACTGCATCAAGTTGGTGATACCCAATGGGCTGGATATTGATTTGAGTCGCATGGCTCATGGAGGAAACTGGTCGAATTGCCAAGATGTGTGAGTTCTTAGCCTTGACGGTCCCTTGTAGTTACTGAACCACTATATCTAGCGCTATTTGTAAATGATCCCGTTGTAATAATACCCAGTATACGGTTCATTTTATGTCGATCCTATATCTGCTGTCAGGCTTGAATTTGAAGTTGTTCGCTATCGTCGTGGTTTGTAGCATTCCTAAAAACCTTCATCGTTACAAGGCAACATCTTCCCTTATTTTTCTCATTTACCTCATTGTTCCTTACTCTACAGTATATAAGACTCGCTTTATCTACTGTTAGGTCAGTTGATCTGACCCCCCCGAATAACATTTAGTTCAGACAGTTCTCTCGTCTGAAATAAGTCTATTCAACTATCGACTCTATCGTGTGAACATATTTGCATACACCACATATTTTGAACTTCCCTAAATCTAAATAAAAATTTCCCCTACAGCCGCCGTCAACAAGGACTGATCACCCTCATGCGTCGACGACCCTTCTTTACAAAACTATATCTCTATCCAAAACAAAATCAATGTCAAATGACAACGAACACAAAAACGTACCTGGTACCTTTCCGCTGAGCTCCCTAGCTGTAGTGAGCGGGTTGAGCGTTGACGCGGGTGCTCTCGACCTGGGTGTTGAGAGCGCATGGACTCGCGACGCGGCCATCGCTAGAGTCAAGAAGTCACTGAGTCTGAGGGTGGAAGCCCCGACTAGTGACCAGTTATCCACGGACTCGTGGTTGGGAGCTCTTGGAGCCCCATCAAAAACTCAAGGCCCGCCTCTCACAGATGGAGGTGAAGGGTCCGCCATGATGAGCATAAGTCCTATCCTTGGCAGCGTTAGCGGACTCCAGACGTCCCACTTTAGGATATGCACCGATAGAAACGTTGACTTAGATACCAATATTCAAAATGTCGCACATCACTCTAATGAAAATATTAGTTGGTTTGACGCACCTAACGACAATGATATCGGTGAAGTACCTGAGTTCCCAATACTCAAGCCAATAGTCCAAGCTATAACGTCAACGCCTCGCGTCACCTATGAACTTAAAGGAAAAGCTACAGAAGCTAGTAAAGACGCACCTGAAACAGATGACCTGTTTGAAAATTGGACCGAAATCGACGAGCATGTCGCTCGACTAAGTAAGCCCGACCCCAGAGACACAGACGAGTCACTAAAAAGACTCTGGAATGACAACAACTGTTGTGAGTCCCTTCAAGTCCAGAACCTAGCGTTGCAAAGGTATCGTAACCTAGCCCGCATCGAATTTGCTGAGCAGGGAAATCTCATTGAGAACCTGAAAGAACAAGTGCGGGAGCTCCAGAACCTAGTGATTCAGAGCCAGTCCCGCGAGAATGAGGCATGGAAGCAGACACAAGACACTTACCGTGCTCCGAACCTAAGTGAACCTAAAAACATGGAGCCCAAGCGTGAGGCACCGGTGGTAGCCCAAGAACAAAGAGACCCACTGAAGGAATCACAACGTCGGGAAACAACTGAAGACACCCGTTACCAGAGAGCATCATCGATACTCCCCGCTTGTTACAAGTAACATCGGTCACGTGGCCCCCCTATCATTTTCCCCTCATCCTCGCCCTCACCATCTACCGGCTCATCCTCCTTTACCGACTTTCCGTTGACCGGATCCTCGGGACCGTTCCCGTCCCTCGCATCATCCGCCTCTATGCACGTGCACGCACGTTCTTCTCTTGATTCAACCACCAATGTGGTCCCGCACCTCTGACTCGGTCTGACTCGTGCCACCAATGTGGCTTTCCTCTTTCTGTTTCCCCTGACTGCGGATCCCCGCACGTTGTATTCTTACCGTTGGTCCGTTCCAACGTTTCTCGGTCTCATTCCACATTCGACCATCCACCACTAATCCGGCTCTGATGCCAGCGCACCTATACCATTCTCACTTCCCCTTTACCCTTACCTACTGTGCGGTAGCCTTGCCCTTAACCCTCTCCACTTAGTATAAGTAGTCGGTCACACTGTACTAGATTCTCTAACTTGAATCTACTCAATCTTCCCTGGAACATACTTCCCTCTGAAGCCCCCTCAGCTTCAGTCTCTAGTATCTTTTCTTAGTCGCTCTTCGCGGCTAAGTCTACCTCAATCGACCTCATCATTCGGACAAGACTGTCCTTACCTTGAGCGACTTCTAAGACCTCCGTCTCAGAAGTCACGTGACACGCGCGTACTGTGATCACTGCCGACACGACCGTCGCCAGTATCACTTGCTATACCGGATCCTTCCGGTTACGTCACGAACGTTAGCGGACGACGCCCCTCTTAGGGCTCCGCCTAACAGATCTATTTGAGTGCGTAACACCACTGGAAGCTCCGTTAAGCGGGCTATGACGGGCCCAAATCATGGAGACCCAGAACCCAGTGACCCCGATCCTGCCTCCAGTTGTGACGATCACTCATCGACCGAGTCTGACACTGTAAAGCCCGTTGTCAGACATAAGAAGTCGCCTAAGACCCTACAGAAAGGGAAAACAACTCACCTCAACCTGGAAGTGTTGATGAAGCGATTGTCGAATTCGGTGTAGAGTTCCTAGCACTGGAACCTGATTCCGACCATGATAGTGACTCCGCTGGGACAAAGCGAACCAAATGACATGCTCGAAAAGAATATCGCGCGAAGCTGAACCTATTGAAATATCAGCAAGGGTTTATTAAGAATGAAACTCCATTTACTTACAATGGAGAAGCTAATGCAACCATGTACAAGAAGTGGGTGTGCGAAGTCCGAGACTGGAAGGACAGAGCCTGTCTGACCACAGGGCAAAGCATTAAGATGCTCGGAAAATATCTCAGTGGCCAAGCGTATCGATTCTATGAGCGTGATATACTGGACCTAAGGAAGGAATATACACTCACCACGTTCTTCGAACAATTATTTGATTACTTGTTCCCTCCAGACTTCCGCATGCAACAACGCCAAAGGTTTATTGAATGTAAGCAAGATGGCAAACTCTCGGTCCTAGATTACTTGCGTCATCTTCAAAATATTGCTGACACTATTGGCGACGTCGATGAGCGCGAGATGGTACGACAATTCTGGATGAACTGTCAACCGTATATCCGAGCGTCTCTAGTGGACAAAGGCTATGAGCCAACTACAGTGAGCTTAGACACTATTGAACGCAAGTCTCTCCGTATCGAGAGGGCGTACCTCGAAAACGCTAAAGATCCTAACGTGGCCCTAGCCCTGAATCCTACTTTGGTTGCCAGCTACGCTTCCCAATCAAACAACTCCTGCAGGAGGAACGCCAGGCCTTTTCGCTCGACGCACCAGTGAACCGACTCAATCGCTGCAAACGCTGTATCAGAAACGTCACTTCACAGGAACCGACAAGGAAGACCTAGACAGAAGCCTCCTACCCGAGGTACGAGAGCTCTCATCAAGCCAAAGAAGAATCCGGATCAACTGAAAAGGTTGCGTGAGCTCAACCAATGCTTTGAGTGCGAACAAACCGGTCACCTTGTGAAGGACTGCCCCAGATGACACCGGCTCCCGTTTAGGCCTGGATCTACAGTAGCTACTATAGGAGCTCGCGCAGTAGGGATCACTAGTAACGATATTCACAATGCTGTGATTGAAGAAGGTGTCGCGAATGGTCTATATGGGATGGCAGTTAGTCTGGCGAAAGATACAGTACTTGACACAATGCAGACACTCACCATCGTGGCCGATGCTCTATCGAAATTGAGGCAAGGTGTTCCCCTACCCACTGACGAAATATATGATCCCCTATATGACCCGTTGGGCAGAGATCATTTCAGTATATCTCAACATGGAGGACCCGACACTTACCTCCTATCGGACAAGCACAACTACGATGACTATATTATCTACCTTGACCAGCTAGCTGACACCAAATTTGATATCATGTCCTGGTTAATAGACAATAAACTGTGCAACTACGATGATCTGATACACACCAAGTCCTCCTTCAAGCCCACGTGGAACGGTATTGCGCTTAACGACAATCCGAATGACTGCCCGAGCCCTAATGCCCTCATAGGTCGTGGCGATGAATCAGACGTTCCTGGACTTATTGACGCTGAGACCAGTGATGAGGAAGAGGCAGACGTACCTCACAAACCTTCGAACTGCGCAATGGCTACCGCTGAAGGAACTGGTGAGACTCAAATGCTCGACCCTGCCACCATATCTGACTCACCGGTAATCCTCCCTGTCCCTGAGTTCAACAGCGGGCCGGACCTTGATAAATACGATGAGATCAGCAACCTGTTCTGCACTAGTCAGCCGAAGAGAGGTGACGCACCTGATGTTAGGTCACTCCAACGTCACGCATCCAGACCGAAGTCTATGACCAGAATACTTCCCAGGCCGCTCGTCATAATGATATTAGTAAACAATAGGCCGTGTTGGGCCCTATTAGACTCAGGATCCCTGACTGATTTTATATCAAGTACTGTCGTTGATCAACTGAAGCTCACTTACACTCTGCTGGATAAACTGATCCCATTGCAATTAGCGGTATCTGGGTCCCGCAGCACCGTGAAAGCTAGCACAACAGTGGACTTAAAATATCAAGATATCAGTGGCCCTCGTACCTTCGACATCGCGAACTTGGAAGCTTACGATGTAATTCTTGGGATGCTGTTTCTGTTTCAACATCAGATATTACTTGGATTTAACCCACCGGAGATCAAGGTTAGGAGTGTATTACCTTTACCAATCCGGGGTGCACAGACTCAAGTGTTGGAACTTAAGGGATTGAGCCCGGACATCAACGTTATTGAATCATACCAGAGAGAATTGCTAGACTATGCGAAGGATATCTGCAAAGAGGCTCATGAGACTCCTCTCCTGCCGTTGAGAAGCATCAATCACGTCATACCTTTGATAAATGAGAACGAAATGTACTCGTGGTGACAGTCTAAGTGCCCCGAGGCAATGCGCCCCCTCTGGAGGGCAAAGCGTGATGATTACATTTGAACCAAGCGATGGGAATTCGTCAGTGGAACCAACGCAGTGCCTATGATCATGATGAAGAAAACTACAAAAGATGGATCTCTGAAACTGTGTACCATGTTGGACACTCGCCAGCGCAACAAAAACACACGGAAACTTGCCTCCCCACTTCCCGATATCGATACAATCTTATGCAACGTGTCGTCAAAGCCATTTCGTTCCCTACTGGATGGGAAAGACGCCTATGAACAGATACATGTAGTACCCGAGGACATGCACAAAACTCTGTTCACAACACCAGATGGGACTATGATCAGCCATGTCATGCAGATAGGGGACTGTAACGCTGGTGCGACGTACCAGTCCTTGATGAACCACATCTTTGGCCCATACATAGGAGTCTTCATGGACATATACCTTGATGACATAGTGATATATTCTGACACTGCGGAGGATCATGTTAAACACGTTAAAATCGTTATTGACACCTTACGGAAGCATCAATTTTACCTTAGCGAACATAAGATGCAACTCTTCAAAAAGGAGCTTTGCATATTGGGCCACATCATAGATGATTCTGGAATTTGATTAGACCCGCATAAAGTTGACAAGGTTGTGAATTGGAAGACACCCACCTCGAGAGAACTCCGGATGCAATTTATCGGATCTGTTGGATACTTGGCTGCTGGGTGTGAAGGTGTCCGCGTAGATATGCAGCACCTTTCGAAGGTAGCTGCGCAGACCACTAAGTGGTCCTGGAACCTGACCGATCAATGGGCTTTCGACCTCGTAAAGGCATGCGTCGAGACTCACCGTAACATTCGACGTAAAGCTATTGATCTTCCCAAAGCTATTACCAGCACGTTACCCATTAACCTGACTACTGATGCATCTTTGACTGGTGCGAGTGGTGTGTTGTCCCAAGGCGTGGACCCAACGAAGGCCGACATTGTCGCCTTCTGGTCCGGAAAGTTCACCGTGGCCCAACAGAACTACCCGGTGCATGAACAGGAACTATTAGCGATTGTCGAATCGCTCAAAAGATTTCGGCACTTACTGATAGGTCTCAGATTCCGGATCTTCACCGATCATAAAGGCTTGGAATGGATCTCTACCCAAGCCAAACTATCACCTAGGCAGGCACGTTGGTTAGAGGCACTGAGTAAATTTGACTTCGAAATTATTTACCTGCCGGGTGAAGATAATGTCCTAGCAGACGCTCTGTCCAGGATATACAGTAATGAGCCTAAAGGTACCATTCGTTCAGCAAGCGAATATGTGAGCATTGAAGAGGACGACATACCGAACTCACTGCCCCTGCACTTGGTCACTGCACCAGTTTACACTGGAACACCATTGTTCCTTGGCGCAACTGAAGCCAGACGATCCGCTCGCATAGCTATGCAACGAATTCAGGGTGAAGAAGAGAACGGACCTGATACTCACCTCCAGTCGGCCCCAACTCCAGACGTACCGCCGGCAGGTGTATCGACACTAGCGACAGCGGCATCCCCACAAAGTGAATTACCTATGTCTCAGAGCCATCAGCCTACAGACCCCAGCCGGATCACGAGCTTACCGTCAATTAAGACCAGGAA